TTACTAACTACTATTAATAATTTATTAAAGGCTTTAGCAAAATCACTATTCTCCTTATTAAGATTACTAAAAAGGATAAATAATTCTAATAAAATAATAAAGCATAATAAGCTTTTAAATAGCTTAAATTAACTATTATAAGTAAACCTGTTCTAGTTATATTTAACCCTAACTAGTAAGTTAAACTTAAGATTAATACTTTTAACTTTGCCTTAAGAGGATAAATAGGATAATAAGATAATAATAGTATATTATACCTTATTGCTTTTTACTTTTATAAGATATATAAAGCAGAACTTAACTACCTTATCTATAATAAAGAATTCCTAGCTATTATTAACTATTTTAAGGAATTTAGATATTACCTTAAAGGAAGTAAATACCTAATAAAGGTTTTTACTAATTATAAAAATATAGCTTACTTTATAATAATATAAGAATTAAATTAATAATAACTATATTATACTAAATACCTATATAAATTTAACTTTACTATAGTATACTATAAAGGCACTAATAATAGATATGCTAATGCTATTAATTAATAACCTAATTTTAATATAAAAACTATAAAGATAAAAGAACAACTCCTAGAACTTAATCCTAAGGGAGAATATTAGTTTATATAACCTATTAAAACTATTACTATAACTTATAAAAGAATAATAAAAAAAGAGGAAGAGCACTATATTAGATTTAAGAAGTATATTTTTATATATTAACTAAAAGAATATTATTAAGATATATATAAAAAACCTAAAAAAGCCAGCATAAGCTATCTCTTTTAGTATTTTAAAATAGGATAAGATAAATAAATAAAATAAATTATAAATAAATACTTAATCTATAAATAAAAACTATAAAGATAGAGATACTTAATATAACTCCTTACAGACCAAGCTAAGCAAGAAAGAGTAAAACAGGAGTTTATCTACAAGATCTATTTATATCTATTATATAAATACTAAGGAGTTATAAAAATAATAAAATAACTCTAGGAACTAGGCTACTGCTATTTCAAAAAGGGATAAGAAGGTTATAAAATAATGTAATTTATATATAAAAATAAAAGTATAAAGATATAAACCTTATAAATAACTATAACCCTTACTAGTAATATAATAACCTTAAGACTTAATTATAGTAGACTTTATTATAAAGTTACCTTTATTAAAAAAACCCTTAATTAGAATCTTCTATAATAATATTATAGTTATAATTAACTAACTTATAAAATTCTTATACTATTTACTATATAAAGAATTTATAAATATAAAAGAACTTTCTTATATTTTTTATTAATATATTATTAATATATATAGCCTACCTATAGAAATTCTTTTTAATAAAAGACTTATATTTATAATAACATTTTAGCAATTACTTATAGCATAACTTAGATTAAATTACTAACTTACTATAGCATTTCGGCTATAGGTTAATAGATAAACTAAATAAATAAACTAAGTATTTAAACAGTACTTAAGGTATTATATTAACTATAAATAGAATAATTAAGTTAAGAAACTACTAATAGCCCAACTTGCCTATAATACTATATATAATAAAAGCATAAAGCTTATGCTAGCTTATACTAACTTTAGATTTATATTAAATATATACTATAAGGCATAATAGGAAAAATTAATTAACCTAGCTATTATACTTAAAAGTAATAACCTTAATAATTTATATAAAGAAATAAAAATAAAACTCGAATTTATTAGAAAATATATAAAAAACTACTATAACCTAAAATAGTTAAAGGGACTAACCTTTTTAAAGGGAGATATAGTCTACCTAGTTATAAAAAACATTAAAACAAATTAACTAAGTTACAAATTAGACTATAAGTATATTAAACTATATAAAATTATTAAGAAAATTTCAGAAAATAACTATAAACTAGACCTATTACTAAAAGTTAGGCTTTATCTAGTCTTTTATGTTTTATTACTTAAATTAGCAGCTAATACAATATAAGTTAAAATAGATAACAAACTATAATAAATTACAGGACTAAAAGCCTATAAAGTAGAAGTAATTAAGAAAATAAATATAATTAATAAATAAAAAATATATCTAATTAAATAAAAGAATTACCTAAAAAACAAAAATATATAAAAACCTCTAAAATATCTTACTAATGCCTAATAACTCCTAAAGAATTTTTACTAATAATACTAATAAAAAAAATCTTACCTTAGTTAATAATATCAGAAATGCCTGCTAATTAAGCCTTAATAGCAGTAAATATCTTAGCATTATCTACTACTTCTAAGTTATTTATAGTTTTAATATTATAATAAAGTATTTCTTTATTATACTCTTATAGCTACCTCTTTTAATAATAAAGATATATTAAATAACTTAATTACTTATTTACTTACTATTATAAGTTTATTAATTTAGTCTTAGCTAACTCCTCTTTATACTTTAACTAATACTTCTTAATAGTGAAATAATTAGCTATAATAAGTTAATAATAAAAATCATATATTAAGAAAAATTCATAAACCTTTAAGAATAGTAATACCCTTACTATTATACTTATAACTATAATAAGTGCATTATATATAGTGCTTATAACCCTCCTTAGCCTAATACTTTAAGTTTTAAGATTTATAATAACTATAAAGTATAATAAGAAAACTAGTATTTTTAATTAAAATCACTTATGCTTTTTAGTTATAAGTAGCTTTTAACTCTAATATCTTATTAATATAATATTAAGGGAATAATTATAAGTTTAAGTTAGATTTACTAAAAGAAGGATAGTTAAAATAGGAGTTATATAGGTCTTAAGGATAAGACCTAATAAAAGGGAGATATTGTGTTATAATCCTTACAGTTATATTATATAAAACCTATAAAATTCCCTTAATTAATTAATAACTTATGCTTTCTCCTTATTTCTATTATAAGCCGCTTAATAAGACTTATAATTAGACTTATAACTTATATATAAGTACTAACTTACTATAGTAAGTTACTATAAGTATATAAAATATATTTATTAGCACTTTTATAGATTTTAGCTTATTAACTATTAATAAAACTTCTTTATATTAATTAAGCCTAATATGTATTAAATTTACTATTAAGAGATATAATACTTTAATAACGCTTAGTATACGCCTTACGCCATCTGCTAACAACAAACTTAATATGGCTTAGTTTAATATAGTTAGACCTAACTATTATAACTAGCTAAAGAGGTATTAAAGATAGTATATATATTATAAAGAAAGATAGTTAGATATAATAAGTATATTATACTAATTAAATAACTATATAAAAAAATAATTTATTAGTAGTTAATTAAATAGATATATATATTACTAAAAAGAGTAAAAAAAGCTTTATCTTTAAGTAATATAACTAATATTTATTTACTAATTTATTATATTTTTTAATTAAATAATAAATTTATATTTTATTAAAGTTATATCCTTAAATTAGGGCTATTATAAAGGTATTATAAAAGCATTATTATAATATATTATTATAGCTTAAGTTATAATAATTACTTATTTTTAATATATTTAATTATATTAAATAATAGTTTATATATATTATAAATTAGGAAATATTAGCTTAAATAATTATTATAATATATATTATTATAGTAATTTAGAGGTAATTTAAGAAAGTAATATATATATAAAAGGCTAGTATTAATACTGCTTTTAACTTCCTTCTTTCCTTAATATAATATAATATATTATAAAAAGTATTTTAATAAATCTTATAATTATTATATTATCTATCCCTTTAATACTATATTTCTTAACCTTAATAATAATTAGGCTATTAAGATCTATAAGGATAATATAGCTACCCCTTCTTATTATATTCCCTCTAGCTAAAATAACTAATTTATCCTCCAGCCTATATAAAGTGCTAATAGCTTACCTAGCTATATAGGTACTGGTTAGTATATAAGAGAGTCTTTTAGGTTCTTTACCCCTATTCCTATCCCTATTCTTACTAGTTAAGAGAACTATTTAGTTACCTAGCTTATATATAATATATTTAATATTAATAGCTAGATAGCTTAAAATACTTTAGTAGGTATAAATTATTAGTTATACCTTCTAATGCCTTAATAGCTATATATAGTATATAATATTATATTTATCCTAGCTAGTAATCTAGCTATTATAACTACTACTACTTATAGATATTATATTAAGGGTAACTAGTATATAAGCTAGCTTTATAATATTATTAATAAATATATAGCTTACCTAGTCCTTAATACTATGCCCTTCTAGATTACTAATAGCCTTATATATTAAGATTAGGCATATTAAGCTAGTCCCCCTATCTCTAGGATAATATAGCCTATACCTACAGTTAGAATAACTATATATATACTAACTATTTAGGTTATATAGCAAAATAGGATATATATTTAGATAGTTAACCTAGAAGGGTATATATAATAGATTTAGTAAGGAAGGTAGTAGAGGGGAGACTTATATATTACTTATTTAATAGTAAAGTGCCTTATTTATAGCTCTTAAGGAATATATAATATTACTTTATATATTCTATCTAATTATATATATATAACCTATTACTATAAGGATTAATTAGGCATATTTACTATTATTAAGTTACTTATTAATAAAATAGGAACTTAATATATTAAAGTAATAAAGTATATATTATTAAATTAAGTAAAAAAAGCTTAATTAGATATTGTATAATATATATATATAATTAATTAGGGTTATTAATATGATAATATCTTATTTATATAGGTACCTGTATGACTTTATTTGCACGGGTACCTGTGCGGGTATGGATGGCCTACTCCTGGCTAGACTTACTGTATAGCCTTACTCTTTGTATAGTAACTCTACCGCCGCTGATTATCCCGCTTTTCGTAAATAGGGGGCCTCTATTTATGCTGGGTATTGTAGTGCATTAGTGCAGCAACGAAGCAGACAATTTTTAGGTGTGCAATATTCTACGACGCCAAATATATATTCTAGCGTTTTATTAATTACATAAGCTAGCACTGAGCTTCAATATTACTGGCATACCGAGACTAGTAGGCTAGTTGAACTCGTGAGTTATTATTGTTTGCAGGCGTGCATAAGTTCTGTTGTTGAGTCTAAAACTTCTCCACTATGACTGGAATCTTTTGGAATAGCAAGAGAGTGCAGTCATAGATGAGAATCAGTTCCCAATATAATTACTCGAGGAGTAATTCCAAGGCCAACCCGCTCAGCCTTTGGTTCGACATCACCCTGTCCTCCTGATATCCACACCTTAAGTGTACTGTCGATGGTGCCGACTGCTCTTGCCGAAGGGATAGGTACCTCTATCACTTCGTCTGTTGGAAGCTTGCCAACAGCAACAGCAGTGAGTTCGGATGGCCAATCGTAGTCAGGACGATCGCCAGTTCCTACAAGAATAGCGTGGCCTTCGCGAACTAAGAGAGGGAGATGGAAGTTGTCAAAAGTCTCTTTAATCCACCCCGGTCCAACACGCCTCTTCCCGTCAAGAAGGCCGGTCCAGGTCCCTTTGGGTAGGTAGTATTCGACGATCCCTTGATCATTGAAGATTGGTGCCACAAGTAAACTCTCGCCGAACATGTACTGCTCGTCCAGAGTCGCACATGTTCTGTCTTCTGGGAACTCGATGACCATGGCACGCAGCATCGGGAGTCCCTTGTGGCAGCAATCAATTGCTTGGGCAAATATATATGGCATTAGCATATTCTTCAGGCGTGAGAACTTGGCCAAAACCTGCACCGCCTCTTCGTCCACAAGCCAGGGTACTCTGTATGTGTGAGAGCCATGCAGTCGTGAGTGCGATGATAAAAGACCAAATTGAACCCACCGCTTGTAGATGTGAGGATCTGGAACATCGTTGGAGAGTCCTTGGGCAATGAAACCGGCAATGTCGTGCGACCAAAATGAAAAGCCAGACATACCGAGAGACAAACCTCCACGCAACGATTGAATCATACCAGGCCAAGTCGATTCACAATCGCCTCCCCAGTGTACAGGTAACCGTTGGCTTCCTGCAGTTGCAGCCCGACCAAATACAGCCGCTTCATTCATGCCACGTTCCTCAACAATAGTCTCATAAACAGTTCGATTATACAAGAGTGCGTAATAGTTGTGACCCTGTCGAGGATCCATACCATTATGAAACTGCACACCCTCCCACGGTATGCGCTCGCCAAAATCTGTTTTGAACGAATCGACTCCAAGGCGAAGGAGCTGTTTTAGGTGCCCTTTGTACCAGTTGACGGCTGCGGGATTGGTAAAGTCTACCACGGCCATTCCCGCCTGCCAATTGTCCCCTTGCCAAACGGTGCCATCGAGTCGTTTGATCAAGTATCCTCCCTCCATCGCTTCGTCGAAGACATCGGATTCTTGAGCAATGTATGGATTGATCCACACACAAACCTTAAGATTGCGTTTGTGAAGATTTTCGAGAAACTTGCCGGCATCCGGAAATTGGACGGGGTCGAACTTGAAGCTCGTCCAGGTATATTCCCGCATCCAGAAACAGTCAAAGTGGAAGACAGACAAAGGTATGTCTCTGTTGGCCATCTCGTCGAGCTGCTTACTAACGATCTCTTCACTATAGTTGGTGATGAATGAACTCGAAAGATAGAGACCGAAGGACCAAGATGGAGGCAAGGTCGGGTGTCCAGTTAGAAAGGCGTATCGTTTAAGGATCTAATTATTATTTATCAGCAAAGCGTATCGAATTTAGAAACCACGGGCGTCCTGTCTTACCTCCTTCGGGTTTGGCCCATGGATGACGAACCATCTGATCTCTTCACCTTGAATTGAGGTTTGAATTTTCCCGAGTCTCTCGGTCTGAATCTCGAGGGATAGCGCATCTGAATGGTCAAAGAAGATGCCATAGCCCCGATTAGTCCAGAAAAAGGGAATATTCTTGTAGGCTACAGTAATATATTTCGTCAGCAAAGGATCGGGGGGTTGTTGAGGAGTTCGTTGACTAACTATACATTGTACAAGTTCCGGCGTCTTCATTCCAAAGTTCGATGCTTTGTCCGTTTTTGGTAAGAGGGCCAAATCGCTCCCCCAAACCATACACCAATTCCCCAACTTGCAGGTCGAATGCAACAGACATGTAAGGCTTTGCATTTGTTTCCAAGCCCGGGCGATGATAGGGGTCTGCGATTTTAGTACTGGCCTCCAAAGGGGTTGGAACACCCTGGTTTGGAGGACCAACTATGTATTGTACGCCCTGATAGCCGACACTTGTCAAAGGCTTTCCCTCGGGACTTGATTGGAAATTTAGGCGAAAGTTGGAAGGGGTTCGGTCAAGTTCAGCTTGTAGATCACCGCTGGAGAATACCGAGAGACCGGCATCACCGTCGCTTCTTACATGGGAAAATTCATGCCGCTGATTGCCACCAGGAAAGATTTCGAAGCGCGGCTCAGAGGCTTTCTTTGCACCCTTGAAGTGCGTCGCGGCGCAAGCAATGATACCAGGTGCTGCTGCAGAGACGGTCAGAGTGATCGTCGGACGATTGAGGGTATTCCCGCGATGGGCAACGTGGCGAGTGGCACAGAGCACACTGATACGATCAGGGGCGAGTTGGGAAACATGGGCTACCTCCGTTGCGCTGTAGATAACAGTGTCTCGGCGGTCCTCCCAGATACCGTGAGTGAACTTCATTGTGAGTCGGTAAGTCGGTTGGCGGGAAGATGCAATTGAGTAGTCTTGAAAGACGGAAAGGGTAGTCCTGATTAGCGATTATAAAATTCAGCCTTAAAAGGTCTGTTGAAACCGAACATGTTTAAGCACCTTATAACGAACTCTAGCGTGGCGGAAGCATTATCACATGTGAGAAGCAGCCATCCATTCTATCCGGGTATAATAATTATATACCGACGGTATATTAAAATAACCCGAACACTGAGGGGTATGTTATTTAGGCTAAACTGCGAACTCGAATGCGATCTCTCTGTAGTGCTTTAAGGGTTCAATGAAGTGGGGAATGCTAGGCACTGGGTGTCACGCGCAAATTGGGATACCTTAAGGTTATAACTAAAATGGTAAAACCTCTAAGGGGCAGAATTCAACAGAAGACAAGATAAATATACCAATCTGGATCAATGGACCGAATACATATAATATCTAATAGAAGCATACACCGGTCTCGAAATCGTTAGTTACATCTGTATAGCCTTGTTAGTTGGATAAAACGCCCACGCTTTTTCACACACACACAGACAATATCGATAAATGCACCGGCCAAATTTGAAGTCATCCCGATGTAGGGGCTGTTGAGAAATTGGAGAGTGGATTATTGTTAAACCAGTTTTGGTTGTAAATTAATTGAATTAATTAATCTGACTGAATTCCTATTAGTATCTAGACTAACTCACCGCCACCCCACATACCCCCTATCCCTGCATACTTTAATACCATTAACGCATTATTAATATAGGATTCTTTATTTTATTTTATATTTCTTAAATAAAATCTGTTTTTATTTATTTTAATAGTAATAAAATTGTAACTATTAGATTATAAAAAGAGGATATTATTAACTATTAAAGATATAAAAATTATTAGTTTATAGCCTTTAGTAATAAAATACTTAATTAAGCTTTTAATATTATATAATTAATATACTAAAGGCTAGGATATTTATATAATATATTAAAAAGATTAATTATTTATTATAAAGTAAGAAAATAACTTAATTAATTATATTATTAAATAAAAGTAACGTAGTTAATAAGCATGCTAACCAGACAAGTATGCCAACTAAAAATCTTAACCTTAAACTTTTAAATCTATTTAAAAATACTATAAACTATCTAATTAAGTAAAACTACTTATTATATTCTTCCCTAGATATCTTAATTACTACCTAATAGGTCCTTATATTATGCCTAGCTATACTATATATACTATAACGCTAACTGCCTGGTTACTCTAACCTTCCTTAATTACTACTTCTTAATAATTTAGCTACTACCTGTGCATTAATATCTATCTAATTAATTACTTATAATACTTCTTATATAGTTATTACCCCTCCTTTCTATAATCTAGTCCTTTTTGCCCTCTAGTGCCGGCTTAATATCTTATTTATATCTTAAAGATTTTATACCTTATTTCTTAATAAGATAACCTTATATATAATTGCCTTTATTACTTTAGTATTTAACTTTAAAGCCTTTATAATTAACTCTAAGGAGCTACTTTTATATCTTCTAATTTATCTTTTTAAGTATTTAAATTAAGATTAAGCCTCTATTACTATCTTAAGAGTCTTTAAAACCTATAGGGTTAATAGTTAGCTAACCTCCCTAGGAGGCATTGGGGTTTATAGCTGCATATTAAGCTTTAAGATTATAGTTTCTAGGTTAAGAGGAGTAAGTCTAGCTCCTTTAAAACCCTTCTAGATATTGCTTTCTATAAAAGTAGCTTTAAAGGCGGCATAAAAGGCCAGGAAGAACTTAGCCTTAGAAATATAGGTTATAGAGTATTTAATTAGATATTTTATTTCTTAACTATAAGCCTTTTTTAGTATTGCAAAGCACCTAATATCAAGAAGCTAGAGTAGGTAAGATATATAAGCAGGCATGCAGAGCGTAATGATCTTGTTCTCCTTATAATATCTCTTAAAATTGGCCAAGTAATAGCTTTTATGGCTATTAAGGATTAGAAGATAATAAGGACTAGTTAATCAGTTAGTTATAGACTAATTAAAGTACTTTAGCTACTTAAGACCTAGCTTATTATTTATCTAACTATTTTAGCTTATTATAATAACCTAGTTAGCTAGGAGGTTGCTTTCTTAGTACTAGTTAGTAAGGTAATATTAGCCTATATTAATAATAAATAGCGCGATTAATTGACCTTCTATATTAATTACCTAAATTACTGTAATTTATTCCTGATTTTTAGGCTATACTAATTTTAGTTTTCCTTGCCTTTCTAAGCCTATAACTGCTATACTGGCTATTATAAGGCCTATTATAAAGCCAGTCTTATTAAAGTTCTAGATATTATTTAATTAGATATTATACTTTATAATTATATTTTATATAAGCCTAAACTAGCTATAAATAATAGTTAGATCTTTATATTTAGCTTTCTAGTAGTTATATCTTTAAAATAAATATATCTTTAGCTCTAGTTATTACTTAATAAAGTTATAAGCCTAATACTTACTAATAGGTAATATATTACAGTTAGTAAGTAAAGAATTAGCTATTTCTTCTATAAAACGCAGTTATATAGGAAATCCTCAGGAATCTAGGTTAAGGAGGAATTAAACTATTATTTATTTTTCTAAATTAGATAGTTTCTATAACTTTAAGACCTAATTACTTTATAATTAAATACCATTCCTTTAGTTATAGAGGGTATTATATCTAACCTTATATATAGTAGTAATGCATTAGAGATATAATTTTAGGTTATTTTAAAGGGCCTAAAAGGCAAGAAGAATTCTAGCTTTATTTAAAGGTTATAATATAATAGGTAGTTAAGAAGTATTTAATTAGATAGAAATAATATAGGATGAGGGATTTTTGGTCGGCATACTTGTCCGGTCGGCATGCTTATTAACCACGTTATACTTTTTAATTTTTTATAAAAAAGGATATTTATAAATTTATATAGGTATTATTATTAATTAATAGGTAAATCTATTATATTAATAAGAACTAGGTTAATAGATTCTTTACTTATTATATAAATATATTATTAAAGCTATTATAAGTTATAAAATCTATAAGAAAGTATTATATAATAAAGAAATTATTTTCTAAGTATTATAATAATTTTAATTAAGTAGTTAATATAAAGAAAATAACTAGGCCTTATATATATAATATTAATAAGATTAGTATTTAAATTAATAAGATTAATAATAATATAATAATTAGAATAAGAATAACTTCTTTCTTAGAAAAGATAAAGTTTAATAATATAACTTAAAGCTTAATAATTAAATTTATATTAATAGATAGTTAGTATCTTATATCTTATACTATTTTTATTAGTAAGAACCTCTAAGGATAATAGTTTCTAGTTATTTTTCTTAATTAAACATATACTTATAGTTTAACTAATTAGTTTAATAATAATATCTTTATCTATTAGTTTATAAAAGTATTTATACTATAGATTAAGCTAAAAGATCCTAATTAATAGAGATTATTAATCTTAAATTAATATAAGTTATATATTATAATAAAATTAATAAAAAAGGCATAGCTATATAATATATAGCTCTTTTAGTTATCTTTATACTTATTATATATTACTTAGCTACTTAATATTATTATATTTAAGCTATTAAAAATATATTATTATTAATTTACTTATTCTTAGGCCTTATATAAAGTAACTTTATTATATTAATAATACCTCTTCTTAAAAGCTTATAAAAAGGCTTTATTAAAAGCCTAAAGTTATAGGAATATAATAAGTAATTTCTTAGCCTCTAGGCTTTTCTTAATTAATTTATAGAAGGTATTAGTAATATTAAAGCTAAGAGAGAAGATATATAAGAACTTTAATAGGCTAATAATACTAAGAAAGGCCTAAGTAATTAATAATATAATTTAGAATATACCTTAAAGAAGTATTAATATTTAAAAATAACTAAAAGCTATATAAAGTTAAGGAAATACCTTTATTTATAACTTTAATTATATTATAAAGAAGGTAATAAAATATATTAACTAGAAAAATAATTAAATTTAATACTTAGAGGAGGAAATAGCAGTATTAAAGGTATTAATAATAATAAGAAAGCCTACTAGCTAAGTTACTATTTAATTTAACCTTAATAAGGCTTTTCTTAAGATTAAATAAATTATCTTAGCTTATAATTAGGCTAAAAACAAATGTTATATTAAATTAAAAGAAATACAAGAAAATAATATAAAAAGAATTTACTAAAAATATAAACTATAGATATAATATTTATAAATTAGTTTTTAAATTCTTAATTAAATTAAGTAAATACTTATTATTATATAATTAGTCAAAGTTATTTACAGATTTAATTATAATACTATTACAGGTATGCGAGGACGGGGGGTGTATAGGGTGGCGGTGAGTTAGTTTAGAAAATACACTACTTTATGCCTATTTAAGAGCTAGCTTATTAGGTAACCTAGCTAATTTAGGGAAATATAGTATATTTTATTTTAATATATAATAAAATAACCCTTCTGTGGTTTAATATACCTCCTTAAAGTAAATACATTCTAATACTTTAACTTTATAACCTTTTTAATTAAAATATATCTTTTATATTATTAAAACTTGCTTATTATTATAATTTCTTTAATTAATTATTTTATATTTGTTAAACTAGCTATTTTCTTTTCTTTTATATTACCTAATTGTTATAAGTATTAAATGAAGAATTTATAGTTTAATTATAATTTATATTTAATATTATATATTACTATTTCATATAAGTAATTTATAATAGATATTATATACAATTAAGTAGCTTAATTATTACTTATAACTTATAAAATTAAAATCCTTATTATATTAAGATTTTATTTTTATTTCTTTCTTTTTAATATTATTAATATTTATTAGTAAATAACTTCTTATTTTATAAGGCTTTTTTTTATTAAGCTTATTTAAGATATTTAAACTTTATTACTAATCTTTATATAATATTATTTAATTTATATTTATATTTTAAGTCTTCTTTACTATTTTATTATAATGTTTAATATTATTATACTTATGCCTCTAGCTCCTACTATAAGTAATAATAATAATATTATATATATTATTTTATAACTTAAAAGCTTATTTTATTTTATTATTAACCTAGATATAATGCTAGTCTCTCTTATATATATAAAGCTATATTTTTTATTACTAATAAGAAGTAATATATAGATATTACAGCTACTACTATTAATATATATATTACCTTTTAGTTTTATATTTTATAACTTTAACCTTAGTAATACCTTAATTAAGTATATTCTACCTTACCTTCTTTACTTAAATAGTGCTCTTATTAGTAAAAGTAATAGCCTTTATTAAAAGTATTTTAATACAGGCTATTATAACTAATAAATTACTAGTAAGTCTTATAAGTATATATATATAGCTTTAAACTAAGTTTTTAAAGTTTAATATATTAATTTATATTATTAATCCTCTTATTATATACCTTATTATCTTTTTCTTCCTGAACTTTTATAAGGCCCTTCTTAATATAAAAAAAGAAAATAAATTAACGGTTTTATATATATTTTAACTTTTGAAGATTTACTAATAATATTTATTAATTACTAAAAGATTAAAAAAGAGAAAAAGAAGTATTATATTATAATAAAAGGTATACTAGATACTATTACCTTTAGGGGCCTTTTTATTATATATAACCTTATTTTACTTAGGTAAGATATATTTTTATATTTTAAAGTTTATTAGCTAGATATATAATACTATATCTCTTACTTATATATATTTATTTAAATTAAGAATTTATCTAACATAATTAACTTATTTTTTATTATAAATGTATTTTTATATTTTATAAATTTAAAAATATATAAAGATATCTCTTTATATATTACAGTAACTTCTTTTTATTTAAAATAACTATTTATTTTTAGAATTAATTACTTATTTTTATAATATTTATATAAGCATAAATATCTTATATTTACTAATAGTTAGGGCTATATTACTAATATATAGTAATTATAATATAAATATACTAATAAAGAAGTATTATTAATAGCTAGTAAGTTAAGTTCTATAAGAGTGCTAATAAGTATATTTTATATATTAAAGGTAGTATTATAAGAATATTATATTTAAGGAATGCAGTTAGTCTTAAAGTAATATCTTCTTATATTAATATTAGTCCTAAACTATTATAATCTTAAACTGCTATTAGTTTATAAATATTAGTCCTATTATAGTTAGTTATTAAAGTAGAGGAAATTATAAGGTATATAATATAACTGCTAGGATTATAATAAATACCCTTAAAGGAAAATATTAATTAAGTACTAAATATTATAATATTATAAAAAGCCCTAAAAGCTAAGATAGGGCTATTATAGGTAATTAGAAAAGTTAATAATTAGAGTTATTAAATTACTCTAAAGGATTATATATATAGCGGAAAAGTCAAACTATTAAAGGTTTTATTAAATAAGGGATATAGGCAGCCGGAAGCTTTAATAGCTAAAAGAAGAAATAAAAACTTAGAATAAACTAAGTTCGGGTCAAATTCAGAAGATTAATTACACGTTAATGCTAAACACGATATACCACTTAATTATTGTTTATTACTTTGCAAAGTCGACTATTTACCAAACATGAAAATGTTCCGTGAATATCTGATCTTCCCCGCCTTCCTATCCAGGTACTCTCTCATTATTAATGGATGTCTTAGCATATATAGAAGCATACAGTAACACACAGTGATCTTTACATTAGTAGACCGCTTACTCGACGTGTGAGGCAGCGGTGTTCAACTCAAGCTTGTCCTCGTAGTTGGTCTGGTGAGCGAATTCTATTCCCATATTATCAGCATTTTCCCGAGCTTCCATAGGTCATGAATCCCCACGGCCAAAGGATAGACTTACGGTCGACTTTGACGCTCTTGAACTTGCGGGCGGAGATCTTGTGCTCAAAAAGAAGATCAATCTCACCGAAGCTGCGGCCCTTGGTCTCAGGAAGACGGAACCAGCACCAGATGTTGCAGAGCAGGTTGGTACCGGCGTAGAACAAGGCGGCCTTGCCTCCCCAGTTCCAAGCTTTAGACATCATCAGCACACAACACTTCTGCCAAAATCTCTTCAATAATTCAGGGGCAGTATGAATGAACGTACCGGTGGGTGAAAGCATGCGGGGAGTGATGACATTCTGGAAGACGTTGGTTAGGTTGTAGATGAATCGACCGATAGCAATGGTCTTGTATCGCAGCCTGCCAGAAGGAGTCTCCGACACGATGGGGTAGCAGCCGGGTCCGAGGGTGGAGTAGTTGACGAGGGTCGACAAGATCAGCATAATGGCCTGGGCCATCTGCGAACCCTTAGTGTTGTGGAAGGCCAAGCCGCCAATGATGACCAGTGTCAAAAAGATGAAAGACAAGCCGCTCATGTAAATGGTCGCACGGCCGAAATGCGGGAACAGGAACCAGCAAATGAAGACACCGGCGACAATGCAAACGGAAAGCGCAATGTTGGTGTTGAAGGCCTGGATCTCATCAAAACCGACAGCCTGGAGGAAGACGACGGCGTAGCTGAGGAGGGGGTTACCACAGAGAATCTGAGCAGCCCACACAACGCAGTTCTGTGAAACACACGTAAAGTCAGTAAAGATGCAGCCAGCGGGTCTATATCACCAAGTGTGACTCACGATCTCAGTCCTGCGCAGGTTGGTACCACGGAAGCAATCAAGGAACGAGGCCCCCTCGGACTCAGCACGCTCCATCTCGGTAGTGTATCGGATGTAAGCGAGAGTCGCCTCGACCTCCTCCTGCTTGTGATCCGAGTTGCCAGCGAGCCTCTCCAAACTGCGCCTTGCCTCTTCGATATTATTGCGGCGTACCGAGTTCCAGGGAAACTCAGGAGCGAAGTAAGCGACGAGGAACAAGGGCACAGGCCAGACCCATTGGAGGGCGAATGGCAGCCTCCAACCGAGATCACCCTGCACATTAGCGACGGCACGGATCACACCGGACGAGATGCAGATGCCGATTCCCCAGCACATGCAGACATAAGAGGTCACGTAAGGACGGAGAACGATCGGGACAAGCTCGCAGGCGTAGGTCGTGGTCAGCGTCTGTGAAGCTTTAGTTTGCGTTCTGTACTATATGCTCTCTCCCTTTTCTCTCACTGGTGGGAAGATCATACCTGGAAGACGCCCCAAGCGATGCCGCACATGGCCTCGCCAAAGGCAAGGACGGCCAGCGAGGGTGCGAAGAAGGGAATGAAGATGGCAGCTATCATCCACACCATGAATACCATTGTTGTGCGGCGGCAACCGAAGCGATCCTGGGCGTAAGCGTTGATAGCGAGGCCAGCAACTTGGCCCACCAGAGCGGAGTTAGCCAGGCCAGATTGCCAAGGAGCCGTGATCAGATACGAGTCGGTAGCCTCATCATAAGTACCGAAGCGATTCTTGAACTGTGTCTGGCCAAAGAAAGAGTTGATCTATCCAGGGGAGTCAGTGATGTGGTTCTTCCCCGCCAACTTCAAGGTAAAGAAGTGAAACATACCACGACAACGTCGTATCCTTCCATAACCAAGGCCCAAGAGAGAATCATGGCCCAGAAAACAGCAGTCTTGTACTTCTTCAAGGCCTGCATAATTGTGAGCTTGCGGTCTGCCTCGACAGCCTGCTGGGCTCGCGCAATGAGCTCCACAGTAGCTGGATCATTGAGCTCGAAAGCGTGCAGCTCGCGCTCAGTAGGCACGACGGTTGTTTCGTCGATTCCCATGGTGACGGTGTTGGTGTTGAGATTCCTTGGGGAGCGAAGCAGGTTTGGATGTCTTTCCTAAGTGAGGCTCTAAAGTACACAGCTTAAGACTTGAACAGATGCGGCGACTTCAAGCTTTTTATCCTTTGGCGCCCTGCACACAAGACACGAGACTTCTCGATTATCGAGAAACTATCTTACCCCATGGCACAGATCCCCATGGGGCCATGAAGGCTAGCGAAAAGGTGGAGGTCCCCGGTGCGGGGGAACTAGTGCGGAGTAGGGATAGCTCGAAGCCTGTGACCTCGGATGACGGCAGTAATCTAGCCAATGAGGAAAATGGCGACGGTTAATTAGGTGCTGAATCCCCTTATCATCTGGAACGTCCTGGTAATGTGGCTGCCGGTAAGCGACACATGGTGAAGCGACGCAAACTCCACTACTGACGTTCCAGACATAGCCGTGCCACTAGCGGTGCGGGGGAACTGGTGCGGAGTCGGGATGGCTTGAAGCCTATGACCTCGGATAGTTACAGGAATCTAGCCAATAAAGAAAATGGCGACGGTTAATTAGGTGCTGAACCCCCTTATCATCTGGAACATCCTAGTAATATGGCTACCGGTGAGCGATGCATAGTAAAGCGACGTAAACTCTACTACCAACGTTCTAGATGTAGCCTTGCTCCTAGCGGAGCGGGTGACTGGCCAGAGCTAAGTGTGTAGCTCCCATATAAGCGTGGCGTAAATAGTGCAAAAAGAATGCGTATTCCATTCAGCTGGAAAGCCACCACGGTAATGTGTTCGTAGCCGCAATTTCCACATTACAAGGCAGCGCACCCCCAGTGCCGTGGGGTGAAGGAGGTAATGTACCCGTAGGTAAATAATATCCTGAGATCCCTGTGAACCCTCGCCAGCCTTAGACCTCATGAGATGGTCTCGAACCACCTTGTCTGTCTTTTTCCTTTGCATAAAACCGCAAATGTTCGTCCTCTTGCTGAGATCCCATCTTTAACCGTGGAGCAGTGCCATCAAAGCTCAGCTCTTTCACAACTTGTCTTTTGCCTAATAGTAAAAGTAGCATTATTAGGTAGACTTGGCACAGGAAGTACCGAGGACGGTTTAGAGTTCGTTGATACAGGCAACTGATCCTCTGGTGTGGCCGTTTGCCAATATTCGCAATCACGAGAATCTCCGGCTAAGTGAGTAGTAGGGTTCCTGGCCTGGCAGGTTGCAGTGCCAGCTAAGTTGCACTTGGGCACACCCGAGTCAGTCTTTAGGGCTAGTGCCTTGACCGCTTCGTGACATAGGGGGAATTATGATTTAGATTCATCGCAATAGGACGGGCAAAGATCTGCATACAGTTCGACTCTGCAAAGCGCCCTTTTTCGATAATCAAGCTGCCACTCATTGTAAGTCGTGTCTGCCATGTGACGTGGGACTCCATCACAGTAACAGGATCGGATGGCTGAGCGCAGCCTGGTGTCAACGGGTAACGCACAGACAAGCCCGCCCCAGCTTCGAAGGTATTCCGCCAATAACAGGCGCTACCGACCGTCGCTAAGGTTAGAGCGCAGTCTGCTACGATGGGACTCTGTGGCAGTAATAGAATGGGATAGCTGAGTGGATCCTACCAGGTAGTGTCAACTGGGAACAGACAAACCTGCGCCAAGCTGGAAGCTAGTCCGCTACGATAGCTGGTACAACCCATCGACAAGCTTACATGACAGTCTGCCACGAGAGCCGGTGGGCAGTGGCTGAACTTTTACCTTAGTACTTCGACACCACTCCTTAACAAGCGGCAAAATATCCGTCGGCAGAAACAAAAGCCAGGCAACCCCAAAGCAGTAAGGTTGCAGGCACAGTCCCTGGTGGCACCGAGACCATCCCCATTCCCCGGACCCCAACTTGAGGCCAACATCCAATCAGCAATGTCGCACTAACTCTCCACACCACACGATTTTACCCCAATCACCACTCCGTCACACCTATCAGAATTCCAGGACCAGGTCATTTCCCAAATGGCCAGACACTTGCCGATCACTGAGTTACTTGCCTCCGTATGCATGCGCTAGCCCCTTAGTCCACAATTCCCCCCTGGAGAGTTAAGCCTACATCCGTATTAGTCAGGAAGTGGACTTCACAACCTCCCTGACCAGTGCTTGCTCCTATTTGGCCGTTTTGCTTGCTGCTCTCTGTCTTAATTTCGAGTCAGCGTGTTTCGTTCGCGAACTTTGTGGCCCGAGAGCCGTGGAAAACAGCTTATGGCGAGCTCTGCTTCCTGCTCAGAGCCCCTCTATTCTGTTGAAGTCGACTTGATTGAACTTAAGGATAGCAACTTTGGTGCGTACCAGGTCGGTATTCCCAAAGGCAGCACACTGAGCTCTGCCTAAGTCGAATCAGACCTGCGTTGGACTTGAAACATTGGATTGCTGTCCTAGTCTGATGAACGTGTGCCATAGTTTGGCTTGCACCCCCTCATGGCATCGACGATGCTCAATGCTCGATCCAAACGGTCTGTTGCCCGATCTTTGCAGTAGATCCGACGGCAAGACCTTTCCTGTTAACTCGCCCCGACGCGAAAGGGATCCATGCACTTACGGCCGATCGAGCCATTATTCACTTGGTTGCAACATTGCGGCTACGGATGTTGGTTCGGGCTAGAACGGATGAGTCGCTCAAGGTGCGGATCGTCTTGGGTTGCGGTGGCGCTCTTAAACCTGGGGTAGCTCTTGGAGTCCCCAGGAATTATTCTGGGTTCCCCGCAAATGACCAGCTAAATGAAATGACAGGCTAAATGAAATGACAAGTTTCTGTGTGAAATTAAAAAAAGAATTATACCTCACGTTGTGTGTTGTTGAGTCCGAGATGTTGCTTTCCCCATTGCCGCAGTGTGTGAGCACGTCACCGTCAGAGGAACGGATCGTGGTGTACTTAAAGGGCATGTGGTCTCCCTGTTTCGACAAGATGTTCTGTTTCTCCCAGCAAGCTCTTCATTCTATTAAGTCTTCTCTGCATTTTCATCCTCGTCAAGATGAAGGCGAACTTGATTTCACTCCTCTGCCTCTTGGGTGCTGGAGGAGTCTCTGCCAATATAGACATATATGTGTCACCAACAGGATCCGACTCTGGCGATGGCAGTCAGTCCAGCCCCTACAAGTCTCTGACGAAGGCCCAGCAACAGGTCAGGTCTGCCCTTAGCAGCAGCTCCTCCGGTGGCATTACAGTCCATCTAGCTGGCGGTGTACACACTTTGTCTAAGCCGCTTGTGCTGACAGACAAGGATTCTGGCTCCAGTAGCCAGCCTGTTGTCTGGACATCCAGTGCCAACGCCACCGTCTCTGGCGGCCTCAAGATCACAAACTGGTCGCGTGGCTCCAATGGCATCTACTCTGCCTCTGTGCCATCGAATACATACTCACGCAATCTATATGTCGACGGATTGGTGGTATCTCCAGCACGCAAGCGGATCAACCGACGCGACTTCAAGTTCAGCAATGTTGGCATGTCATGGACAGACACTTCCTACGACTACATCTCGTCAGTGCGCAACATCAGCAACGCCGAAGTGCGCTTTATCAACTCCTTCACTGACCGTTTGGCCCCCATTATCTCGGTTTCCAATCGCCAGATCGTGTTCAATGGAACCAACTGGAATAACAACATCATTGGCTACGACTCGGTGTCGAAGCCGTTTAATGACAACGGCGTCTGGATCCAGAATGCCTACGATCTCTTAAGCGCCCCCGGTCAATTTTTCCTTGACACCGGCGCCAACACTGTCTACTACTGGCCCTTGGACAACCAGGACATGTCCAAAGTTGAAGCGTACCTTGGCATCCAAGAGACGCTTGTGTCCATCGGTGGCTCATATGATGATCCTGCTCATGACATCACCTTTAGTGGCATCAACTTCGCCCACTCCACGTGGCTTCGACCCGGTCAGGGCTATGGCTACGCTGACCAACAGACTGGTGGCTACCTCTCCGCCACCAAGAACTACACCGACTTCGAGGCCGGACGCCAGGAGTGGTGGCTGATGCCCAGCGCCATCCAAATCAGTGCTGCCAACAACATCAACTTCGCCAATGGAAGTTTCACGCAGCTCGGCGCTGGTGGTGTTGGCATTGGTGGCGATCCTAATGCTCATATCTCTGGTGTTGGCTACGGCGCGAATGGCGTTTCCATCGAGGGTTCTTACTTCACTCAGGTCGGTGGTAATTCAATCACCGCGGGAGGCATTCTGCCTAACGCTCACCACCCCAGCGATACACGCATGATCAACAAAGAAATTACTATCCAGGAAAACATCTTCTATAACATTTCCAACGTCTACACTTCTACCGTGCCCATCTTCGCCTCGTATGTTCAGTACTCGGACATCAGCTACAACGATATCAACTGGGCCCCTTACTCCGCCCTTTGCATTGGCTACGGGTGGGGCCTCAACGATGAGGGTGGAAGCCCATTGTACGAGCAACGTGGAACCTATAAGTACACCCCAATCTATCACACCGCTACTACAGCCAAGAACAACAGGGTCAAAGGCAACCTCATCCTCAACTACGGAAGAAGCCACCAAGACTTGGGTGGTATCTACACCCTCAGCAAGTCCACAGACACCTATATTCTTGAGAACCATCTCGAGGCTCCTTATGGCTATGGTTTCTACACAGATGAAGGCACCAACTCGTATATCTTCCAGCGGAACAACCCCTTCGTTTCGAGCGAATGGTATCACGCTAACCAGGGTTACCCTCTCACCACCGGCAACAACACATTACAGGACAACCTCCACATTAAGGGTGTTGACATGGGAGACTATCCTAACCGCTCTGGTTTTGTCAACAATACCTATGAACGAAACTATTACATTACTCCTGCGTCTACCACGGTCACGTCTGGCAGGGTTGCCTGGCGTGCTGGCATTCCCCCGGGAAAACGTGGCAACCGCCCTGTCAGCAATCGCAACAACGGCGCAGATGGCGGCATCGAACTTGAGTTCCCTTCTGAAAGCGGCTCAGTGCTGGTTCGGCTTACCAATTTCGACGACGTTGATTACACGAACCTCAAATTCACGCCTTCCATTACACCAACCACCAACTTCACACTTTCAACTGTCTCTGTCCCAAGCTCAATTCCTGCCAACAATATCGCTATTGCTAAGTACAAAGTGACCGGCACTTCATGCATTCCTCCCACCTTCCAAATCAGCGTTACCTACACAAACCCGCGTACTGCCACGACCAAAACCCTCTCCATCAGCAATCAGATCGTTGGCTTTAGCGTTCTCGACTCTAGCAATTACCCTACCGCTACCACTGCCGGCAACGCCATTTTCAGACAAACATGTGCTGATACCGATAATATCCTCGGTATTAGCACTATTGGCCGCGACTCTTACAACGGTTTTGATGATTGGGCGGTCATCAAGACTGACAACTTCACCACAAACCATGGCTCTGTCTCGATCAAGGTCCTCTCCATAGACCAGAGTACTGGCAGGGCTGGTATTGTTGGTCGCAACTCCCTTGCTCCCTTCAGCAACTCTACTGGATACGCACAAGTCATAGCTCAGGCCTCTGGCGGCGTTGCCTTTCGCTGGGATGCCAGGGGTGTTGGCCAACTAACCAACACTACCACGATTGCCAACATTAAAACCCCGGTCTGCCTCCGTCTAAATGTCGATGGTAGCTATTTCACCCCGTTCTACTCGACCGACTGTCAGAATTGGAAACGCTTTGGAGCCCCAGTCTACGTACCTGGTCGCAAAGGGTACACTGAGTTTGGCCTTGTTGCAACCGCCAATATTGTCACGAAGAACGTCACGGCGCTCTTCACCCAGGATTTTTAGGTGTTCAACAACAAAGCAGGCACAGGACTCCTCAGGATTGTCAAGGACAGAAACATTGCCTCTGACTTTGCTTCACCTTGCGATCGCCTCTCCTTGCTGTCATTGACCTAATGTAGTCGTTTTACTGTGTTTCCTTTGTATCTGTGTTTCCTTTATATCTGTGTTTCCTTTATATCTGAACTATATTTAAACGCACAAGTTATATTTTAACTTTAAATTTAGTTCTTAAGTACTACTAAAATATTAATAAAATTACTTTTCTATTAATACTATTAGCATAGTTAATAAGTAAGCATTGCAGAGAAGCAAGCATTGCATTATATTATATAAATAAAGATAGCCAACCTTATAGTAATTTAAACCCTAAAATAAAATAATTTAAAGTTTAGAAAAAGTATTTTCTAATAAAGTATATAAAACCCTATATAATATATTATTTATAAATTTATAAAAAATTTCCTTTATATAAAACGCTTTAAGTATATAATATAAATAAGGTTTTTATATACTAGCTATATCTTAAGTATTATTTTACTATATTTATTATTACTGCTTTATCTTATAACCTAATTTAATTTATTATTAACTAGCTAAGCTAGTCTTAGTTTACTAACTAGCCTTTATAGTTTTTTCTTAAATATTAAAACCTTTATTTCTTAATTTAACTTCTTCTCCCTTTTTCCCTCTTACTTCCCCTCCTTTACCTTATAATTACCTTTATTTCTTATAATAAAATATTTATATTCTTAATTTAACTAACTAAATCTTACTTTTTAACTTTTTAAATTATATTAAGTATATAGTATTATTACTAGCTAATATAATATTATTAATAAAGGCCTACTATTATATAATATATTTATATCCTTTTTTAATTAATTAGCTAGGCCTTTTAGTACCTTCTTTAAGGCTTAATAAATTTAATAAGATAATTATCTTGTATAATACTTATAATTAATACTTAGTAATTAAAGATAATAAAATTAACTTATTATATTAATTATAATTTATTAATATAAAGTAGGTATTTACTTATAATTTTATAATAATAAAGGTTAAAATAAGCTTTAAATCCTAATAATATAAATATTATTAATATTAATTATTAAAATAATTATATATTTATTAATTACCTTAATTAAATAATTATAACTAGGTTAATTATTATTAATAATAATTATATAATAATATATTTTAAATAATAAGAACTATAATTCTAGGCTTATTTTCTTATAAAGTTTTACAATTATTATAATAATAATAATTATATTTTAAAGGTAAAGAGCAACAACAAAGAAAAGACTGCACAAGGCGATATCTTCTAACACTCTTAACTGCAAGCTAAGTGTAGACTGCCAGTTAGGTTTAATTAAGATAGGGTCTTCATTATAAGATAGAGAATTAAACGGTCAGTTTAATGATATTGGATACGAAGGAAAAGAGTAAAAATTGTATATAAAAGAAAGCATGAGAAGCTAAAGTCCTTAGGGGAATCCGTCCCTTTATGTCTGTTACCACAGACATCTATCTGACCCCACTAACGAAGCTTAGACCTCTTACCCTGGAATGCTTGCCACAACCGTCACAATATTAAGAGGTTAATAATAAAGAGAGAATTTAATTTATTATTAATAAGAGAAATATCTTCTTTATATTTATAAGTTAAGGCTACTTATTTAATTAGATTTTAAGGTTTAAGGTAATAATTTTATAATTTATTAACTTAATATTAAGGTTATTATATTTTTTTAATATAATATATAATGCCTTATATTATATTTATATTAAATAAAAAACTATAATTATATTACTTTATATATAGCTATAGTATTATTTCTCTCTTAATACTAAATATATAGGATTTTTTTAAGAATATCTAAAAAGTATATATAACTTATTTTAAGACTTATTATTATAACTTAGAGGAAAGAGCACTTATATTATTACAATCTTAGCAGTTACGTCACGTGCACCTTATATTTTTCTTTTAGTTATAAATAATTATTATATATTAAAGGATTTTATAAGTAATTACTAAGACCTAGGTATTAATATCTAACTAGAAATACTAATAACTCTTAAAATTATTAATAACTTTAAGAATTATTTAATAACTATTTTCTTAATTATAATTACCTTTAATATATAAAATATATTTATTAATATATTTATAAAACTTATCTTATTAGCTATTAATAAGACTTCTTTATATTAATAAGCCTAATATATATTACTTAATTATTAAGAGATATAATACTTTATATTACTTAGTATTATGCCTTACTCTATCTGCTACTATAAACCTAGAATAGACTAGTTTATCCCTTGGGAATTATAACTATTATAAATCGGGGTAAAGAATCTAGCAGCCTCTCTTATATATTAACTAATACTAATATAACCAGGCAAGCTATTAGCACTTTATATAGGCTAGAGGATAAATTTGTTATTCTGGTTAAAAGGAACATAGGCAGAGGGAGTAGCTGTATTATCCTTATAAATTAGAATAGCCTGGTTATTATTAGTATTACAAGATATATCTATTAAAGGGCTAGATATTATAATAATTATAAGACTTATTAAAATACTCCTTATATTATATTATATTAAGAAAAGTAGGAAGTTAAATTCTATATAAATACTTACCCTTTATAGATATATTAATCTTATAAATTACTTAGAAGTTACTATATTAATATAAATTATTATAATCCCTTAAGCTAGTACTTCCTGATTTATAGCATATATTAACTGTTATTTAATGCAGTTAGATATTATTTAATATATTAATAATAAGTTACCTTTATATCTTAAAATAAAAGAGCGCCTTAGAACAGTGCCTTTATATTACCTTTATAATAGCCTTAATTTACCAATATTACTTTAATTAAGTATAACTCTATAACTTAATTAGAAAGTATAATAAGTTAATAGATAAATATAAGTTATATTGCTTAATAATAGAGATTTTTCTATTCCTTTTAGTAATATATATATCTCTTTAATTAACTGCCTATAAATTAATTTATTAACTAGCTATCTAGTTATTATAATATACTTACTATATCTAAATATCTTCCTCTTCTATATATATAATATCTTTAATACCTCTTTAGCCAGTATATTAAGCCTAATAAGTAATTATATAATATACTTACTTATCTCCCTTATTTAAGAAGTTAATATATATATTTATCTCCTCTTTAGTTTAATTCTAAAGCTTCTTACTATTTAAAGCTTTTATATAACTACCTATTTATCTTAAGGTATAGAACTATTAGTAATTAGCCTTTAGGTATTTTAAATAAAGCTTTATTCTCTTCTAATATAGCTTATTAGTATAATACTATTTAGACTACTATAAATACTATTTTTTACTATTTAATATATATTATTTATAATTAGCAGGAGTACTATTATATGCCTTATACATAGCTATTATAATACTTCTAGTTTAGGTAGCAGCTTAAGGAAAGGCAATTAGGGAGGTTATTAATACCAGTATAGAAGTAATTACCTTTATATATATTATTACCTATATTTCTATCTTAGTTACTATTATAGTAATAAATTAGGCTATACTAAACTGTAATTAAGGATCTATATAAGGCTTAACTGCAGGTTATAATACTAAAGATACTTAAGATAGAACAGGCAATATATTACTATAACAGAAAGGGAATATCTTTAAGGTAATTTAATAACCGATCTAGTAGCATATAGAGCATTATAGTTATGCCCTTAGCTATAATACCTCTTAAACCTATTCAAATATATAAGGCTCTCTCTATATACTTATTAGTAGTAGCACTAATCTATTAGCAAGGCAATTAAACACCCTCTGAGGTTTAATGAGAAGTAAGGGAGCTCCCGGGCGTTATAAATGCCAATGAGAGTGGAAGTGAGATAGTTGGAGATGAAGCCCATTTGTCAGTAGAGGCTCAAGGGTATGAGGTATTCGTTCAGTTTTATATTACACCTTCTCTATAAACACTAGAACCTTTTCACAGTGTCATAGCATCCCGTTCGTGAATCGTTGTACCTATCACTCTTGAATCTTATGCAATTAATGCCTTTAGAGCAACACAAATAACAGACCATATAGCGGATGTCTTAGTTATAATTGATTTGCGCCTTACGCCAGTTGTGAAGACTCTATTTCTAGTCCTCGATTTATGAATTACTTGTATTAGAAGATAAGTAACAGCTATAGCGCCAGCCCAGTTGCCCCTTCGTTCCATCTGTACAAAGACAACGCTCGGCGACGAGCTTTACTCTCCTCCAAGTTAGATGTTTCCGGACTCCTCACGCTGTAGAGCGTCGACCTAAGCACTTTGCGGAACCGTTTCTACGTATAGTACTTTGTATTAGTGAGGTCCAAGAAGCAGGCTATTTTGATCGATGTTAGAGTGTGAACCTTACCTGGAACTCTGTGCTCAAAGTAACAACACAAACCTCGTGTGCTCGTATGATAATCTCACAAGCCTTTTCGACAGATTCGTTCAATCCAAGCTGAGGCATTCGATCTGCAAACAGTAACAAGATAAAGCTGCCATGCAAAAGATAGATGCCAAATAGGTATGGCATGAAAGAAAGTTCTGGATCACATGCCAGGATCCGTGACATAGCGTCAGACGCGGCTATTGCATGAGATGCACACTTCATGAAGCCTACAGATGGTATCCAGCCATCTTTATTATCTAGCATCGAGACGGCGTCCCACTTCCCATGGAGGAGGACGTGAAGAACATGCAGTATGAATGTACTGTATGCCGCAACAAGCTGTGCCTGCGCATGTTGACGGTGTGATGAGGCGTGGCTGGCGGAATTCGACGTTCTAAACTGGTCGCCGTGACTCTGTTGCGGTGATATCGCACATTGCGGGGTGCGCACTTGACTCGCTGGTATAGCTGAGCCATCAAGCGCATCGACTTGGTACGCGCTGGCCAGTTCAGTTATGCTTTGTGCACACTGCGCCATGACTTGCTCTATCATTGCGGTGGCCGGGTCATCCTCATCCTCATGTCCATTGTTATCTTGAGATCTTCGAACATTGCCAAATCGTGGGTGGTGCTTTTGTCGATGCAGTTGAATAACGTCACCAAGGATCGTCATAAGTGGAAGAAAGTATTCAAAGAAGCCAATCCCTGAAATACGAGTGGGAGCGCCGAAAATCGTTGAATGTGAGCTACTACCCAATGTTGCGTCGACAGGGTATCGTCCTGTTGATAAGGCTGCCCAAGCCTCATCCGAAAGCGGCGCATATAATTGGCACTCGTCGTCAAGGATCCGGAGTGGTGCGTTGAACGATAGAGCCAAGTGACGATCGAGACAAAAGATCAGCCAAAATGCTCTCCGTCGCTCTTCTCGGATTTCCAATACGGTCAACCCTGTACGTGCACCTTCACAGGACCGACACCCACACGAGGATGTTTGGCTGGTGCACATAGTTGTTTCTGATTGGGTGAAGCTATTCTCAGGCGAGTCTTCTCTGTTTAATCCCATATTATGAGAAAGACGTAGTGCCTTGTTCCACCATCGGAGGCAATCTGTTTTGAAGTCGCCGCCCGAAGAGACGATGGTGACGAGGATGAACATGAGGACATCATCTACCAGGGGTACTGGTGGCGAGACGGCAGGGACAGATTCAACATGGTAATTTGGCCGATTTTGAGCTCCAGCCGTGGCAGCATACTCAAGATCTCTTACAAGCGGACCACCTAGTGGCTCGAGTTGGCAGAGCTCGTGAAAAGGGGGGACATACTGACTGGTGGTTCTGTTCCAAACGTCACGGTCTCTGCCCTGAATTAAACCCATCATCAACTTCCTCAGCTCTTCACAAACTATCGCTTTCTGGCCTGGCAGCAGAAACAAGGAGCTCTCAGCTGTCTGTGCACTGACCCAGATCATGGTAACCAGCAACGCTGGTGTACACGTTCGCGGGTTGTTGTCTCGAAGAAGCGATTCTTTTCGCATGATGTGGGCTAGAACATATGGAGAAGAACATCGAAATAAAGATCCGCCTGGCTCAACAAAGTAAAGCTCAAATAACTCGCAGACAAGCCTCGCGTCAATGATCCCGTGGAGCAAAGGAATTACTGGCTCGAGGCACTTGTAACGGCATCCATGAGATGGCAAACTTTGGGTAACAGTTGAAGCTCGTTCGCGTGCAGGTGATTCGTGAACAGAGCCAGTGCCATTATGAACTGCGAGGTCGAAATCAGGTAGAGGATAGGAAGGTTGGTTGTCAGGTACATGATACAGCTGATCATAAGTTGGTGCCGTTATTGAATCGGCTTGTATATCTAATGATGCCGCATCATGATGTGATGAGTGGCTCGATGAGTAATGGTTATTTGTGGGGAGATCGGGACTTTCTTGGACGTCATAAGTTCCACTCTGCTCCGGCTGTGGATGCGGCGTGCTTTGTTCCAGATCACAATCAGCTTCTGATGAGTCGAACTCTCGATCGTGCTGTGACTCTTGTACTCGATTTGTCGATTTCGGCTTACGACCACGTCTGCCGATGTTTCGAGTATAATGACATGTTTGATGGTATTCTAAACCGGCAATGTATCAATAAAATCTCTCTCTCAATCGCGATATCAAAACCAACCTTGGCAACGTCGACTAGAGCGTATTCCAACGTGAGCTTTTTCGTATTCTGTTTGTGATTGGTGATCTGCTCCTCTGGCACTTACCACGGCTGCTGACCATCACATCGAACTCTCAGAGTGCTGCATCTGTCGCAAGCAAGTCTTGTTCTCTTCCGGCCACTCGGTGGATCCCTCTTGGCATGTTGACGCGGTTCACTATGTTGAGCATCCATGTTTATCCACGGCTTGGAAATTTCGCGGGAAGCCCACTATAATCAGGATAATTAAGGACCAGGGAAATATCCGTGCGGCGTCTCGGTATTTAGTAATTTGCCGCCGGGACGCTGGAATGAATTATCCGATGGTGCAGAACTGGGCCAATCATCAAATTGCCAGAGTGAGGAGAATGAGCCTAGGCAGTTCTGATTAAAATCCTACGCTACCCTACATCATCCATCCACTTCTAAGAATTTAAAGCGTCGGAAAAAAGGTGTTGGCTTGGTATTCCGCGTGAAGTTAAATCCCTTACTATAGAGGGAGTTATTTACCCGATTTGGGCACAGATAAAACATTGACTTCTTATTAGTTGTAGGACAGTTTGACTGTATTTTGCGTAATGCTACTCAGATGGAGATTGAAGTGGAGATAATCACACTTGATATTAGCAGCAAACATAATTATAAAACAAACAGTCACCTAAGCACTTGAAATAAATGTGTAGCTATGCAAGCCCGCTCAAACTTGATAAACATCACTTCTCAACGTACGACGAACCATGGTTATCATCAAAACTATCACATCACATGATGTGCGGTTTCCTGTAGGTACCTGCAGGCATACAAATAAGACCAGCGCTGACTAGGACCTCAAGACTTCCCTGGACAAGTCTGGCTCAGATGGCATGAATCTATCACCAGACTACTCAGCTGCCTTTTGTATTCTTGTCACCGACGACCCCAACTTTACAGGTCATGGCATGGTATGTGAAGCATTCCTGAATCTGCACTGAGCTGAATCTCACAGAATACTTGTAGACCTTTACAATTGGTCGCGGTAATGAGCTCGTCTGTGGCGCAATCGACCTCCTCGCTCCTCTGATTCAGGGCAAAGATCTTTCTGACCTCACAAAAGATTGGGGTAAAACGTGGCGCTACCTCACCTCAGACTCACAGCTCCGTTGGGTTGGCCCTGAAAAAGGTGTCATACATCTAGCTCTCGGTGCCATTGTGAATGCAATCTGGGACTTGTGGGCAAAGACATTGGGGAAGCCTGTCTGGCGTGTTATTGCGGATATGACACCAGAAGAAGTTATCCAATGTATTGACTTTCGTTACATTTCTGACGTGCTCAGTCCGAATGATGCCTTGGAGATTCTGAGAGCAGCACAGAAGGGCAAGTCCGAGAGGATCCAGGAGGCTTTGAACAATCGTGCAGTACCTGCGTACACTACTAGTGCCGGCTGGTTGGGGTATGGTGAAGACAAGATGAAGAGACTTCTTAAGGAGAGTGTTCAGCAGGGCTTCAAGTACTTCAAGCTCAAAGTTGGCACGAACCTTGAAGAGGATCGACAGAGACTGAGGATTGCCCGTGACGTATTGGGCTATGATACAGGCAACGTGCTCATGGTGGATGCTAATCAGGTATGACCCAACTTCTCGGTCTGAGATCACTCTACTTACTCCCCACTATAGGTCTGGTCCGTTACTGAAGCCATCACACACATGAATGCTCTCGCAGAGTTCAAACCATGGTTCATCGAGGAACCAACATCTCCAGACGACATTCTAGGACACGCTGCCATTCGGCAAGGTCTGTCCAACACAAGCCACGGCGCCATCGCAGTAGCAACAGGAGAAATGTGCCAGAATCGTGTCATGTTCAAACAGCTCCTTCAAGCAGGCGCTGTGGATATCATCCAGCCTGATGCATGCCGTGTTGGTGGTGTAAACGAGGTTCTGGCGATTCTCCTCCTTGCTGCCAAATTCAAGGTCCCCATTGTCCCGCATTCAGGTGGTGTAGGACTACCCGAGTATACTCAGCATTTGAGCACTATTGATTACGTGGTCATCAGTGGCCGCAAGAGCGTTTTGGAATACGTGGACCATTTGCATGAGCATTTCCGCCATCCGTCGAAAGTTGTTGATGGACATTATGTCACGCCCTTGATGCCGGGATATAGCGTGGAGATGAAGCCAGAAAGTCTGGTGAGGTTTGTATATCCAGGTAACGAGGCCAGTTGGTGGACAAGCAAGGAGGCAGAGGCGGTCATTAACCAACCGAGGGTCAAGGCATTATAGAGCTTGTCAGGCTTACATGTTACGTCCTTTTATATTGCTGTAAAGAAAAGTCTATCTACTAGTATATCTCATTATGCAATTGACATTTCCGTTACATAACTAACTGGACAAAATGCTAGCATATCTTTATCTCACATTCTCGATAGAGGAGGACCCACTACCTACAAATGAGTACTTGTGTGTACATCTCTGGATCGCGGAGTGAGTATACCAGCCTAGAGAGTTGGTATTAAAGCAAAAGGATTGAGATGATTTCACGGTTAAAGATGACAATTTAACTTTATATCGGGTCTTACTTGATAAAAGAGTAAACTTATATAAATTTACCTATGTTCATAATGCCTCTTACGCTGCCACTCTGATCGCTGTGGACTCTTTCAAATCCTTGTTCTCTCGTGCTGTGATTTCTACAACACCAGTCTCCTTAATATCGTCATGATTGGAGTTTCCACTGATTGCTTTTGACTTTTTCCCTGAGAAATCGTAGTCTAGCCACTCCCCAAGGATCAAACGAACACGCTCGGAGAGTGCCAATCTACTCTCCACTGATTGAGAGTCCAGCTCGGTGTAGTCCAGTAAACTCTCGGAGCTGCCGAAATTTTTGAGTACTGTTTTGGCTGCAGCCACATTCTGCTCCAGATCGGATAGGGTGCTGATTCCAGTTATGGTTGATACCGAGAACGAGGAAGTACAATTCTGCTTCGCTTTCAAAACGGCGTACTGCATCGCAAGGGAAGATAGACTTTCTCCGTTTCCGTACTTTTCCATCCACTCAGCGGCTTCAGCTGCTGCAGCTCTCAGACCTTGAGGCGCAGGATGCCAATCACCTGTCAGCCCAAGGGGAATACCGCCCGTCCTCAACAGTCCAACAGCCAGTGGACTTGAGCAGAATACAGAATTTACACCAGCGGCGCGGAACCGATCAAAACCACGGGTCTCGGCTTGCGTGTTCTGAAGAGTGAGCTGTGCCCAAGTCTGAACAACATCGACAGGGTGCCCGTATTTCTTTCGGGCAAGGCTAGCAACTTCAGCGAGGACATCGATGTCGTAGCCCGAGATTCCAACTCGTAGAATAACCCCATTACGTCGAAACTCCAGCAGTACACCAACAGCAGTGACGGCTTCATCTAGAGACACATACTCAACATCATGGCAAAAGACAACATCCAAGTACGTAGTCCCAAACCGTTCCAATGACCTGGCAACAGATTTTCTGATCCAGTCCGGGGAGTAATTGAACTCATTTTCCTTGATGCGGCCAACCTTGGTCATGAGTTCGTAGTCGCTCCGTTGGTATCTGGACTGAATACGGGGATTCGACAAAGCAGCGCCCATGAGTTGCTCCGAAGGCTCATAGTATGGTGATGTGTCAATGGTACGCACGCCAAGTTCGAATGAGCGCAGGAGAATGTCGACGATTGGAAGAGACTCAGGGTCAGGGCATAGTTGGTAGCTGAAACCTGCTCCGCCCATTACCAACACTGGAGGTGAAGAAGTCGGTGACATTGTGCTCTAGTATTTGTGTTGTGTATAATGCTTGAGTAAGAACTGCAGTAGGTAACTTGGGATACGAGATGGAGACAGTCGAGGCGAGGAAGATCGAAATATCAGCAACTGGGACAGTTTCCTCAAATTTGTATTTTGTTTTCGTCTTTCAGTTTATAGCCTCGAATAGGAAGCCCATTATGCAGATGTACATTTTACATTTAATATCGCTCAATGCGCTATCACCTCTCGGAGGAATTTTATCTCCATGTTACAGGATCTGCAGTTTGGTGAGACGTTATTGGTTCAAGAGGTAGCTTGAGATTAAATATCCGTCGGTTAATTCTTGACGGTAGATAATCCTCCGTTATTAGCCGTTAAGATCCCCACTTGCCTTATTAAGACACTATCGTTACACCAATCAAAGGCCGCTAGGTCAAGTGGAACGCTCGCTGAAGTTACCGCGCTTGGATCCCTCGTTTGTTGCTCGAGACATCCGTAGAAGGACATAAATGCCAGGCGATTTCACACAGCTTGGGCAATGCACAAATTCTTGCCAGTAGATAGGCAGAAAGATATACATATGTTCATCTCATCGTCCTACTGTCTTGCACTATGCCACTATTGAGTCTTGGACGGAATTCTATAGACCTGATATTCATCTCCTACATTGACGGGGAATATGTTGAACGTAACAAACCCATCTAGATTCTCAGGCTCCAGTCTAACAAAAGCCTGGGCTGCATGCTGCTGTTTCGTACCGACCCAATATGCCCCAGCAGGAAACTTCATCGTCTTCTTGCTCAACTCAGTATTCACTGTAGTCAATGCAATACCCTCATACTTGGTTTCTGCCAGCGTAGCAGACGTGATGTTGTATGCTTCGACTTCACCTTCAAAGTCGACTGCAAGCTCATCCACAACAACACCAGCAGCTCGAAGGCGAAGGGCAGCATTAGACCAGGCTCTACTGAAGATGTATGCTTCGGGGCGTGCGCGGGTAAGGTTACTCGCAGGAGGAGTGTTGTTGCCAAACAAAACAGGAACTTCGGTGATGTTTCCTGTTTCGGCGTCAAGGTATGGCCATGTCGTCTCCATCCATCTTGGCTGATCCCTCACAATGATCTCCTGGCCATTTTCGATAAAGTCCTTCCTCGCTTCTTCAACAGTTTCATATACCAGTTCGGCATTGTCAGCAGCAATTCGCGACACAGTCTCAGCAGCAGTCAAACCAGCTGTTGTTCTGCGCTGGAAATTGCGATCACCAATACCAATCCCTCTCGTCTCAGAGAGAAAAGCCAGTCCTTGACCGAGGAAAACAGTGACTTCACCACGAGTGTCGGTGACAAAATCTTGGAGTTTGATAGTGTCGTTTTCTTGCGATGCAACAACATAGCCATTCGTTGTAAGGTTCTTCTTTCGCAGAGCGCTGGCAACTTCTGGGACAAACAGAGTTTCTGCCATTGATCGGATATCAGCGTGGACATTTGGGTTCTTAAATGCCGAGAACTGGTTATCCTGCACAGGGATATATGTCTTGTTTTCATGGGTTAACCCTCTTCGGGCTCCATACTCATGGCAATCAAGGTGGACATGGGCATTGAACTTGAGGTTCAGCTGTTTGACCTCCATAGTCTGTTGAGAAGCCATCTTGGTATGGTCTCGGTTGGGGTCGAAGCTTGTCGCAAAGAGACGCTGAAAGTAAGCCGACCCATCGGGATTATATCGTGGAAGAACAATAATATCGAGCTTTTCCAGAAGTCCAAGTGCCCATTCCGGTTCAGCATCCATTTTTCCAAGAAGAGCAAGGAGCCCTTCTTCACCAGCCGGTTCATTCCCATGAACTCCGCCCTGTAGCCATACGCGGACTTTGTTGGTGGTATTACCCACTGCTGCTGTCTGTAGGAGCGATTTTGATGCAGACAGAACAACGTATGGAATCGAGCGTCCCTCTTCAGAGATGAACACAGGATTGTGATAGGTCATCCATTCGTTTCGAGAAGCAAGCGTCCACAGGAACTGTTCCAGCTTCTGCTGGGAATTTGGTGCCGATGTGCCATTGGCGAAACCGGGAGCAACACTCTCAGGTTCGATGAAGGCGGGAGAGTAGAGCTTTTGATCTACATCCGGAAAATTGGCGGCAATATGAGGAGGGTCTGGTTCAAAAGGCACTCTATTCCCGGCATAAGAGAGCGTTGCAGCTCCCGAAAGGAGTGTTGAGACCACCAAGAGATGCATGTTGCTTTCTGGATAAGGTCTCTTGAAAGGTGACGTTCCCTTCCTTTATATATGCTTGAACAACTCCGAGCCAAGTACCGGCGTTGCAATGAGCTTCCTTCTTAATACTAGTAAGTGATTATCATTGTCGAATAAGATAAAGGTGAACCTGTAACCCCGCGATTTGGCGTCTTGCCAAGCTCCGTGATCCACTGTTATCACTTGGCAGTCCGACCACGGCGGCGAACTTTCATCATATACTTGGGAAGTCGTATTTTAGCTCGGGGAACTTATGCTGTTGTTAATTGCGTATTCATTGGGATCCAATAGCTTAGTGAATTTATTACTGAAGGCAGTGAAATGAATGCTGAGTAGCTCCATATTTGTAAGTACACGAGTGGCTGGGTTTAAGTTATGATTATTATAAACCTTGTATATTATTAGTGCGGGCAGCAAGCTAAGAGGTAAACACCACAGCAGTACTCTCTTTGCGGATAGCGGGAACATTACCCGCCACCTCGGCTCTACTGGCGGATATAGTCCAGAAAGCTTTATCACTACCGCTTTATGGTTGCTGTATTAATCGATGGAAAATATTCAGACAAGCAGTGAAGACAGTAAGAGACGTAGGTTGAAATAGTATAATGACTAAATGTAATTATCTAATAATCTAGAAGTCTCTTCTTAAAGGAGTAAAACTATTACATAATGTTTAGACCGAGGGCAACTATGGATAATAGATATCTAATCAATGTCAAAGCGCTTAGATAGCTGTTCAGAGTCCATAGTCCTGATGCTTAGATGCCTGGGGTTGAGGTCTAAGGCGCTCGTGGAGGCAGGGATGTCATTTGTGCCTTGGCCGAGGAGCAGTTTAGTCCCTTCCCGAGATTGAAAACGCAGATAACAGCAAAGCCAATACATATAATAGTAAAGACACAGGCAAATGAGGCAAAGAGTATTATCTCTTCCTTCATTAATGTGTTTGCCAGCAGTTCATTGCCAGTCAAAACTTTGAGTCGCGCGATCAAATACACTATATGAAACATCTTCATAGGGGCTAGACCTAGCCATCTTTTCGAGGCATACATTCTATTACAAATGCTATTCCTGTAATTTATTCTTTTTTAAAGCCTTAGGCAGCGAGAACTGCATGAATGATTGAGACGGGAATTATTGCCATAGTTAATCCAAACTCTGGCTCCCGGTAGTGGACATCTACGAAGTCAGGTAATTAGGACTGGATATATCAGTAGGAGGGAGACTTTGAGGAATACAAGGTAGGTCTGTCAGGTTAGCTCTTATACTTCTGGGACACTTGATCACGTACCAGGTACTTAACATGTCTCGCTGTCATCCTCAGATCGGGCTGATATGCTTGTATAAAGACCTAGAAAACTCCAGTTGAAGGTAATACTCCAATACGCACATGAAAAGACTGCCGTGTACAGATGTAACAAAAGGTGCTATGCATGATGTCTCGGACACAAATCATGCCTCATTGACCGTCTTGCGACGAGTCAAGAGTGACTTTCCAGGAAAGGTGCGTTGTCAGGCCTATTGCGGGATGTATAACATTGACTCAATCTTGAATTCTGCCCATTCCTACTCTTGTAGGAAAACCAAGGCTCTCGCTATTTCGCCGGCTGTTGATACAAGGCCCCATTTCCCTGCAGGACAGTGGGCGGATTAAAGACAGCCAGGCTTTGCAGTTCCACCCCCACTTCGTTCCAGAACGATATTGTATTTCAGAATGCCAAATTTCTCTTTTTCTCCACCAGTTGAGATCTAAAGCGCTTAGATGAAACATTATTTCTTTGACACTACTGCGTATTGAAGGTAAGACATGGCCTTGCCTGTCTTCCCAACCATCCCTTCTATCAGCAGAGGCCGAAAACCTTGCCCATATGTCTTTATCAATAGTCCTCTACCTTTTTGTCTTTTTGCTGAATGTAAACCTGTGGCCAAAAGTTTGAGATGTGCGTCAGAGGGGTTGCTGCAGATATTGAGGACCTTTGGCGCGTATTAGATAAAAATAACCTTTTTCTATTGGAAATGTGTAGGCCGGGATGAAAAACGCATTATTTATCCTTGCTGAACTATTTTTATAATTAAGAAATTCCGGCTACTTGACCGTCTATAGCAATACGCGAATGCCGTCATGCTGATTGTAGCCAATGAGTCCCGCTAGTCCGTATATCCCTGCTAGTGCTGGCTATACGTGTATAGCCAAATGGCCTACGGCAGTATCCGCACTTTAGTTGACCCATACTGACATGCACTGGAAACTGCATGGATAGTGGAGGGAGTGTGAATTAAGCATAAGACACATCCAATCCAGTCACCCTTGAGGAGGAACTTGCCGTATCATGTACTGGCCCCTCAGGTTTCAGGGGCCAAGTCCGCGTATTGCAACACACAACTACGTACTCAATTCATCTATAACTAGTTCAGGAACAAGGACAAATAATTTTCAGTCTTCTTCTCATTATCCATTTCCAGCCTTTTCTTTCTTTAGTCTGTTAATTCCTTTGTTACATTCCCTTTCCTTTCTTCTCTAATCACCCGTCATTACGGAGTTGAACACACTCATTTGTATCAGACTTCCAACCCCACAATCGTTTTTCAATCTTCATCACTGTTTCAAAACGGCACAATGGCAGGTTTTACTTTCTACAATTATGAGCCCTCCCTACCAGCGGCCGCCATATTTGTCATTATCTTTACCACCACCGCTCTTGTTCACATGTGGCAAATGTTCCGGCATCGAACATGGTACTTTATCCCATTCCTCATCGGCTGTCTTTGTAAGTATCCTTGTCTTCAAAGCTGTGATAGACTGCTGATTCTCCACAGTTGAGGCGTTTGGTTATGTTGGCCGTGCGCTCTCCGCAAACGAAGCTCCAGACTACACCAAAAACCCATACATCATGCAGTCGATATTGCTCCTCCTCGGTCCTGCACTCCTCGCCGCGTCTATTTATATGATACTGGGCCGGTTGATAGTCCTTTTAGACGCCGGCCATTTATCTCTCATTCGAACAAAGTGGTTGACCAAGGTTTTCGTCATCGGCGACGTACTATCTTTCCTGGCACAGAGCGGCGGTGGCGGTATGCTCGCCTCAGCAAAGTCCAAAGAAAGTGTCGAAAAGGGCGAGAATATGATAGTTGGTGGATTGCTCATTCAGATCGTTTTCTTTGGCTTCTTCATGATTGTCACAGTTGTCTTTCACATGCGAATTCGCTCTCGCCCAACATCTCGATCTCTTGTCTTGAACACTCCTTGGGAGAAGCTGATCTTCATCCTTTACGCTTCAAGCCTTTTTATCCTAGTTCGTTCTGTTTTCCGTGTCGCGGAATATGTTCTTGGAAAAGAGGGAGCGCTGCAGGCAGAAGAGTATTGGATCTATATCTTTGATGCGACGCTCATGTCCTTTGTTGCTATTCTCTTCAATATCTTCCACCCTAGCCAAGTTATCAACAATCCGGGGGCCGAAAAGCCTAGGTATACGGTGGATGAGTATCCCTTGCAGAGCGCATAGTTTCCTCAATGTTTACAGGGAGCTTCAGTGGGTATACGATAGGACGTACCTGGTGTTGGACAGCGGAAAGTATAATAAGATGCATTCATAAAGACAAGTAAAGGCGATCTATAGATATAAAGAAATAACCTTTGTTGAATACAGCTAGCTTATTCAATAGCTTACGACATGCTACGGTATGCTTGTTGAGCTTTAACCCCCTCGTTTCAGGTTCCGTTCGCAGGCTGTGTATAGAGATGGCCATCAAGAGTAGTGTTCATGGTCCCATTTGCTTGGAAGATGTTCTTCAAAACATCAATGGTGAGGTGAAAGCCATCTGGGCTTGTCCTTTTGGTATTCTTTGAGCTTCCAGTCTGAGTCAGATCAGAATACCAGTCGACATGGCTGAGCGTCAGGGAAGGAAATGTGGCGCGAACTGTTTCGAACCCTGACAGGAACGTTGATCCATCGTCAGAGAAGTTGTGATAGATAACACTGATCTCACTGATAGATTTATCAACTCCCCCAACAATCTCAACATCAGCATATCCACAAATGAGCCCTGCCAGTGTATAATTTCCAGGTGTTGGCTCCGGACGTTGTGGATCAATGTCCCCTGGGGAATACTTCACACCCCATGGGACCTCGTCTGGGATGGGATTAACTGCGGGAAGATTGAGGGGCTCCCGAGTAGTCAGAGTTGCCAAGACCACACGTACTCGTCTACCTCCTGGCTCTTTGGATGGATAGCATGGAAGCGGGTTTATCCCACCGCACGCAGGAGGAAGTGTTTGAACATCCCCGTAAACAATCTGAGTGCCGTCAGGAGACCATTTAGGGTCAGCCATCGCATTCCATTCGGGGTCATTATAGTCGCCACTACCGGGGACACCGTCCCCTCGTCCATTAACCTTCTGGCCGAAATAGTCCCCGCGATCACCATAGCGATCCAAAAGGTACGGTCTGAAGAATCGTCTCTGTCCGTTGTTTCTGGTTGCGGACGTGAGCGATGTGCTGATTAAGTCAGTGATAGGCGGAATCTGTCTCATGCCAGAGAGCCACATCTGTCGGTCCGTCCCCCGTGTATCCTCAACCACGATCCATTGATCGTCCGGGGAGACAGCAACAGGATCACAATATTCTGGATGGCTAGTAAGTCGCCGGACCTTGCCAGTCTGCAGGTGAACAGCGAAGACATCAATGTTGGAGGACTCAGCCGGATAGCCGATGTAGGTAACTTCAGTTCCCCTACCGCTGAATCCACGAAGCTCGCCCACAGCTATGGCTTCCCGGTTGATGATAATAGCATTGCCATGCGTCGTGATAGGTTGTTCTGATTCTGGATTGAAAAGTCGCGTAACTTTAACGAGATCGTAACGTGGGACAAGTGGTGTGCCGGTTGTCGGCTTCGCGTTGAACTTCAATCTTCCAAGGTACGCATACTGGCCGATCTTTCGACCGGTTGTTGTGAAAACATTGAACCCAAGATGGACGTCGTCTGGGTGCAAACGCAGTTCCCGAATGGCGCCGCCCTCCCCAGTCCCATCAGGGCTAGTATTCCACCGGATCGGATAGACATGGGTACGTTCAGGTGTACAGGCTGCGTCAACCAGTTTATACTCTCCACAATCGAGTATATTGGTGCCGAATAGGATTCTTTTTCCATCGCCGAATGCCTGTGGGTAGTTGTATGTTAGGCTCGCTCCTCCTGTGTTTCCCTTGACCAATCCACAAGTGAGACACTTCCAGGGACTGCCACTGGGGAATTCCTTGCCGTCAGTCTTCACGGCGATAATCTGGCTACCATTGTAAACGCTGGCGGGGTCCGGAGATGGAGGAGCGCCTGTAAAGGTGACGAGAACCAAGACATGCTTTCCATCGGGTAAGAAGCCACCTGCTTGGAAGTCTTCGTTTGACGCTAGAGTCATACATCCAGTGCCATTTGGATTCACTTCTTTCGTGCAAGCCCCGGTTACATTGCCAGGTGCAACTGGTGGAAGGGGAAGTGTTGAAAGGCTGATGGGTTCTGGATTTGGTGGAGCATGTTGAGCGGCGCGATCTGCCATAATAAACTGGGAGCTTGGAAGTGCCATTGCCCCTGCTACGTGGCCAACCACGAGTGACGTGCGGTAATGCATTGTTGTTGTTGATGTCTCGCGGCAACGACCTGGCTGTATGCTTGCAATAGAAGGATTGGCAATAAGTCATGAAGGATGATACTGATAATCTTTCTACTCCCTTGGGAGGCAAATCAGTTTTCTGGACTCCATATATACGTCATTTATTTGCTTGAAGCTTGTATCAAACACAATACGCGAGACTTCGTCACTATACGCGTATTCCGTATTCGGCTATCAGGCAGTCTGCTTGGCGATGGATAACATGTACGTACCGTTCTCCAGCGCTAAACCCAGGCCATCAATTTAGTGTGATCTGGACCAATAAAACTCGGACCATTCGCTGGGTCCCAGCTCAGGGATTTGCATTGACCTTTAGAGGTACCATATAAAATTAGATTTTATGAGACTTGGGATAGACCTTGCGCACTATGATCTCTTCATACAGTCACAACTTTGACCTCGGGTCCCTCAATCTTCTTGACTTTGCGCCCCTCCCACCACGACATCAGACCAGCCAACAATCCTGTACCGCAGCCAAGGCCGATAAAAGTACCAGTAGCCCAGCTCTTTGACATTGAAGTCAGTATGTATGCCTGAAATTCTTTAGGGGAACTACGAAGACGTGAACTTACGGGACGATCAAAACGGTTATACCCCCACATGAAGTAACACAAAACAGCTTGCAGGAATGTATTCAGAACCATCATATAGATAGTGAATCCCAATTTCCAAAGCGGTGTCGGGGGCGCCTTCTCGCCAGTAAACGTGGTTGAGCGAGGAAGATCAGTAGCCGAGTCAGTCGGGTTCGGTTCAGTTGCCCAGGCAGGAGGTCGAAACCAAGCCTTGTTCTGCTCGGCTAGCCTCTGCATGGCAGGAACATTCTTCCAGCAGACAGCGCGGGTGTAAAAGTACCAGTCGCGGAAGCGCCATGGGGCGAGGCCAAAGCCTGTGACGCAGAAGAGGGCGTTGAGGATCTGACTATCTATCTCGAGCCATTTCTTACGCGGTGAGTTGTCATCGTTAGCGCTGGGATGGTTCATGGCTGGCGCGGCATTCAGCAGGAGGAAGAAGAGCATTGCCTAGGGATGAAGAATTAGAAGTGTACAACACAAAGATAAGATATGTCAGTTATCAATCCACTTACGCCCCATGCCTGTGAGAGCCTCGATTAGCTACTCGGGTAGGGTCTAGAGACCGACCCCCCGTGCTTTCCTTTCCACCGTAGGTGCCCGTGCGTCAAGCACGGGGGGTAGGCTGACTAGGGAAAGGGGCGGGTGACTGGGGAATAAATTAGATACCTCATTTTTGTATGTAGCCCCACCAAAAAAATAAGTCACTCCTTTAGTTGAATTGTCCCTCTTTACTGCACTGATGATGCCCGCGATATGTCATTACCCCTCACAAACATCGCAACGAAATCACCACTCAACGTCCTCAACACCAACAAGGTAATTACTTTATTCAGTCATGATAATTGCAATTTCTATTCAATTGAGACGATGGATACATCAATCAAAAGCCCTGAACCGGCTCTTACTGCAGTACAAAAATATATCAATTCTGACACCGGAAACCCTAATGTCTTGCGATATACAGCTCATAACCTTGAGACGCGTACTGTCGCGGCTGTCGAGCTTCTAAGGGAAGGATATTACTCCTCAGCTGTTAAAGCTGCTAAGGCATGGAGGGTACCATATAAAAGGTTGCTTTCTCGACAAAAAGGAAAACATCCTGTCTCTCAAAATGGCGGCAACTTCACGCTTTTTTCGCCGGAAGAAGAGAAGGCGATCCTCGCTTGGTGCTGGCGCCGCGTCACTCAGGGACATCATATACAGATGCGTACTCTTCGACAGTATGCTAATTCAATTCTAAAAGCAACTGACCGACTTCCAACGGCTTCTAGATACTGGGCAAGACGTTTTCTAAGAAGATATTCCTCTATTCTTCATAGAAAGAAGAGTTCAACCATCGCAGTGCAAAGAAAGGCGATGGCAGACCGAGCCAACGTCGAAGAGTGGTTTCGCAAGTGGCATGATTACGCGGAAAAAGGCATAGATTACGAGGATGTGTGGAACATCGATGAGACAGGCTTCCAGATCGGTTATCTTAAAAATGGGATGTTCCTGTGGACTTTTGGGGAAATCGACAAGCCTATCTTGACTGATGCACACGAGACAATAAGCGTCACGATCATTGAGTCTATATCAGCAAAAGGACGGGTTATTCCATCGTTTATCATCATGCCGGGCGTACAGCTGCCGTCTCGGTGGGTTGACAACCGCCTTGAACCGGGCACAACGATCGTTACAACACCAAACGGCTATATCGATGATATCTCCGCGCTAGAATTCTTCGACCACTTTGAACGGCTTTCCCGGACTTCTTTGAGTCCGGGAAAAAGAACACTATTACTAGACGGTTGTGAGAATCATTTTACCAAAGAGCTTTTCCAAAAAGCCCAAGATGCAGGCGTGGTGTTGTTCCCTTTCCCGCCTCACTTGACACATATCCTTCAACCGCTAGATGTAGGGCTATTCTGTGTATACAAGCATTGGCATCAGGAAATCCTTCTTCGTGAGATTGCAGATGGCGCTACAGACTTCAATAAAGCTGACTTTTTGTTCCATTTACAGGAGGTACGCGCCCGTACTACTAAGAGAAGCACTATCATCTCATCTTGGCAAAAGACCGGCATCTATCCCTTCGATCCTGAGGTTGTACTAGCCCGTATGATAAATCCCTTATCATCACTATCTTTGGAGGTAGCTGAAGAGTCGTTACCCGGCTATATCTCACGAGGGTCCTCTTCCACCCACAGCAGCGATAGCAACTCCGAAATGAGTGAGGAAGACGGCGTTACGCCGCCTCATGAGATACACCATTCGAATCGTCACGACCAGGAGATTCGATTGATGTCAACGCCACCCCCGTGCGTCAACTGGATCGAAATGAACACGCCGGAGCTCAAGTTACGGCAGATCCGTCAGTACGAGGAATATGTGGCCCTCAGGATCGAATGCTCAATAACCTCGGGCACGCCTCTGACTCCCTCAGTGTCACATGTCAATGAGAAGCTGCAGAAAGCACATACAACTCTCGCAGTCAATGGGATTACTGCGACTCAGGAAATGCGCCGTCTCAAGGAGAAGAACCTTAGAAGGTCTGCCCGGGATCAGGGGACCACCATACTGGCAAATTACGGGCCAATTACTATATATGATGCCAGACTTCGCGTCGCAAAGGATCAGCACAACCGGCTGGCCGGTCAGGCGGCCGAGGAAGCTCGTATGCACACTAAAGAAGTTAGGGTTGAAGTCGGGTATTTACGACGATGGATTGCAGCGGTCAGGAAGATGCTCAGGGCTTCTTTAAAGGATCTACGGGTTGCTGATCTATACAGCAGCCAGCCGACTTATTCTCAGAAAAGGAAGCTATTCACAGCGGCCGAATTTTATATAAAAAAACAACACCAAGATTGTATACGGTCGACGGCGGTGATAGGGTCAAGATACCGGCTTCACCGCGAGCTTCTGGCTAAAAGCAAAGATTCCAAGGTGAAAGCGACTAATGCAAAGAAATCAGAAAGTCGGGAAGCCCCTAGAGTATTTATCTTTCACTGGAATCCCCAATTCCTTCTTCCATTTGACTATGACTTCAATATCGTGAAGGAGGCGTTGGAATTTATTGTCAGTGACGAGGAAAAACGCCGCTCTAATCGGAAGAAGATGTCGTTGGAAGCTGACGGCTTAGAAATCGTTGAAGATGATGAGGAAATGGATGAAGATGATGAATATGATGATGATAATGAAGAAATAGTCATTGGGGATACTATTGAAGTCAGTTAGGGCGAGTTCGTTATCCCAAAGGATGAAGAAAATACCGAATAGTCGTGATGGTTGCTTGGTGTTTTGGCAATATGCATTTTTGGTGGGGGTTGCAAATGGAGGGGTTGGTCCGGTCACAATCATGTAGTTATCCGTGGCAAAGGAAGTACATCTAATTTGGTGGGGCGCACATATAAAAATGAGGTAGCTTAATTTCCCTAGTCAACCGACCCTTTTCCTAGTCACCGTACCCCCCGTGCCTGACCCTCAGGCTCCACGTGTGGAATGGGTTAGGCTAAGGGGGGCCGGTCTCAAGGCCCTACCCGAGTAGGTTAAACGCACGGAATGGATGGACAAAAGCCACTTACAACAATGTTCAAACCGTACAGCGTGATGAGGAAGCCAGATGGCGTGAGAAAGAATTTCCAAAACGCCTTGAGGCCGTTGAGGATCGTTGGTCCCCATTTCTCCTTCTCGTCAGCTTTGTGTTTCTCGTACAGACTTTGCCGTCGAATCTGCCGCTGACGATGTTTTTCGCGCAGATGAAGATGATGGTGGTGATGGCGTTCACCGGGTGCCTCGGTAATAGTCTCAGCCCTCGTCGACCCTTGTTCCACGTCTACCTCCTCAGGAATAACGGCGGGCTCCTCGGTGAAAGGGTCCTTGTCAAACCTTGGAAGCAAACTGGGTCTGCGGGTGAGTGTCGATGTCCTAACCAGCGTGAGCTCGCCGTCTGGCTCGGGGGCAGCGTAACGCGCAGAGTGGCCTTGTGCGTTGAACTCGATCTTGTCGCCGCCAGATTCGGCGTCGCGGAGTTCAGTGAGATTGGGTGCTTGTGCGATGGCGGTACCAGTGGCTTGCCACATGCCCAGCTGCGGGTTAGCATTGATGAGCGATAGTGACGCGCCGCGGACACGACCGACGAAGCCATTGTTTGGTGGCGGCTCCGACATTGCGGCTGATATTTTCTGGGGCCCTTTCACTCTCGTCTTTTGAGAGATTATTGTTGGATTTGAGGCTGAGAGGCTTATTTTGTGGTCGATGATGCCAGGTTCATGGGGTAAATCTGACGGAATTGAATTAATCTTATTTCTCGGAGTCGGCCTCTGGTTAGTTCCGTTCTAACCATCTTACTGAATGCAGTAAAACGCCAGAGGCACTTGTTCCACCGGCAAAACCCGCGCCCAGTCATAGACCAGTATCCAGATAATTAATCAGCTTAATCATCAAGTAAAGTTTACGCTTGAGAGCGATACGGATAGATAAACAGAGCTAACTAGATATGATTTAGATCATCGGCGTCTCCAAAAGTGCCGACTCCGCGGACTGTCCTCGCCAGTTAATCCCCTCGGCACAATGTTACTATGAATATATGACATGATGTTCGAGATGCTAAGATTCAGAAAGAAAAAGGAACTGCTATACTGTCACTCGCTCTCAAGATATTGCACTCTAACATGTTGTCACCGACAGATTGTTACCATGGTGCGCCGTGATTCTCTGCCTTCAAATGATCTTTCCTGAGATCATACCTCTTAAAAGCCTAGGGTAGCCCAGAGCGCAAGTCCACCAACAACCCACGGAAACATCATCCTGAAAGCCATCTGCGCATTGAACTCTTGCATGAGGTCCAAGACGTTCTTCGCGCTGGCTTTCAATGGTTCATTCTCAGTAGATGTCGAGTCCGCAATAGCGAGGAGCTTGTAGGACGGGCCAAGCATCACCTTCCGTACCCAGATCCAACCAAGAGGCATGAGTCCTCCTGCAGTAGCCCAGATCTTCCAAGGCAAAGCAGAGCTGTTCTCCTTGTACTCTCCATAGGCGATAGTGCCAATGACAATAATAGTGGTCAGGTCCACCCATGGCACAGTGGCTGACATGGACCAGTAAAAGTACTCCCATTGCTTTGCAGCGTCCTTGGGCGACTTTTGAACTGTTGGGTAGATTGAGGGGAGAAGACGGTAGCCTGATGTCATGGTACCGCCGTTGATGAGACTACCAGCGATGGCAATGCCCTTGAGGGCTGGGAGATAGGCGTGAAGGGAAGACATGGTCGTGTATTGATTCAAAGGTGATTTGAGGAAGTGATGAGAGGAAGAAGGATGTTTGTAACGCTGTTTGAGATACAGTGACAAGGAACAAACGAAAGACTTTTCTGGTGGCAGTGTTGCACTTTTGCGTTTGGAGTCGAATGGAGAAGTTGTTATAGTAAGGAACTCTTTGGCAATACCGTGGGAAGATCCAGCCTTTACATTACAAAGCTTCATGCATGGAAACCACTGGACAAGCTGTTATCGCACTGTACGCCAGACTGTCATTCGTCATAAGGCGCAGCCGAGTTTTCTGGACGCGCATAGCTTTTTGGATCTTGACCTCTTGGGGAATTCCAGCTGAGATTATACTGAAAGTGTTCAGCGCGCCACTGGACGAGCCGCTGACCACTCTTGTTTTTTCTAGGCAAGCCAGCAAGCTATGTGTAGAGAGTGCATCCACGGAAACTCATACAAATTGAAAGCCCAATGTGACAGTTGCTGGAAAGTGGAGAGAGCTGAAAATCTCGTCACAGGTGTATCTCATGAGCGATGATTCACAATTCGCTCACTGCAATGTTCGTTTGAACTGAGACACTCAGAAACCCCAAGACATTTTTGGCCACTGCATCATGCATGGGTAATGTTCAGGGTTGCAGTATTGGCTTTAGCGCCCACCCCTGCCTGCATTAGGTCTTGCAATAGCTAGTTACCCCTCAGCGCTAGCTTGCGGTAAGCTGCTCTCAACTCATCTTCGGGTTAGTACTCTTTCTGTGGCTGGCTGTCAATGAACTTTGGAATTTGAGCATTCGTCGACCTTTCAGAAACATGGTATCCTTTCAAAAGTCCATTTTTCTCTGAAAGAAACTGAGGCCCACTAACAAGCGTCCGAAATTGAGGCCATCTTGACCATGATGGAGTATGAACAATGCTATCCGAGGAGATTCTCTCGAGATCTACGGAGTACTGGAAATTATAAATGCCTTTCTTAGATAATTACGATTTAATCAACATCTTGCGAAGGAGCCTGTTACATGCGAGCTCATTCAACCCCCTACAGGTTATCATGATTGAAGTTATGATTATTTTCTCAATCAACTTACTACTCACAAGTAGAATAAAACCTGTATACCCTTGTAAATTAACAACGCGGCCAATAACATGACAACTAAAACTCCACGCCAACAGCATTGACCAACTTCTTCACAGCGCCAAAGAACTCGACAAGTCCCATTGTCCACCATGATCTCCTCTTCCAGCCTTCCTCGATAGGTAGTCTCTCATCCTCAAAGATAGCTTTGACATACTTGACGGGGATCGTCTTTCCATCTCCAAAACAGCCCATCATCAGTGCGATTTGGCCGCAGTTAACCTGATGTTCAGCCGGTCCATAAACCAACTCTGGATTGTCCTCCAGTTGACGTTGAATCCGAGCTTTGATAAACCTTCCAAGGTCTTCAATAGTGAGTGTTTCGCCATCAAAAGAATAGTCCAACATTTCTTCGATCAAATCTTGTTGAGGATCATTGTTTCCTTGCTTCTGAGCAATGTCTCGTCTTGACAGAGAGATGTCGTGCTCGATAGCACCGTGAGAAGCAAGATCAACAAGATTGAGATACTTCTTGCCATCACTAATCTGGTTCGCATTCCAGCAGCCAAAATAGTCAAAGAAGGAATAAGGGTTCTTGATGAGTGACCAAATTCTTTGCCATGTGCTGACAGGCTTTTTCATGTATGCTTTGGCTGGGTTTTGGTACTCGAAGTAGGTCGGAATAGCAAAGACAGAGCCGAGGAGGGGACTCATGCCAACATGTTTCATTGAAGCATTGAGATCGTCCATGAAAATACCACGTCCGCTGCGCTCAAGATAGCCATGGTTTGCAAGAGCGTTCACAACGGGACAAGGACTTCTGCTGGCATTGGGAGGAGCTTTTGCAAACTCTCCAACTGCGAGTGAAGGAGGCATTGTAACAAGAATAAACTTTAAGGGTCTTGCAATGATGGAGGTTGAACAAGGGAAAGCAGATGAGCTGGTTTCGCAATAGCAGAAGGATGCGGGAGTAATGCTGCTTGAATCAATTTGAGCTGTTATACTATAATGAAAAGAAGCTGTAAGATCACTAGCGAGACTCCATTATCATCAACCAATGGTTTTGAGGTTGGGTACATTGCAGTCCAGACCTGTAGCGTAGTATTTATGGCGTCCAGTTGAGCGCTGAGCATTTCCAATAGTCCCAAGATCAGCCGCACTACCTCAAGCCAGAGTTTGAGACATTGGATGTACCTGATGGTCCACAAAGAATTGAATGCAAGAGCTGCATTACTGCTTACGTCTGGTGGCTTGGCGAAACGGGCAACCCATTCACTCAGTTGGGTAAACTTACTAGACCTACATGTCTCTCCGCACAGTATCAGCAAGGAGTAACAGTCTCACCACAAGCGCCGAATGCCTGAACGGTTGAATACCAGGTTACGAGGTAATCCTTGGCACGCAGGTGCACAGCGCAGTAACAAAGCTTATGTAACACGGCGTTTGGCGGCCCTGGGGTCGCTTGAAAAGGAATGTGATAAGGCTAATCTCACCAACGGCTGCATGTTCAGCTCCAAAGGTGGCCTGAGCGCTTCTTTTTTAGTCTGAACAGGGCGTTATTTTAGACCCCTAAGGGTTCAGCCAGCCGCAACGGGCCGTGTCAAGAGCTGAATGGGTGGATTTGTTAGTGGCTGAGCGGGGAATGTGATAAGGGCCCAGCATTGGGCTGCAGCGGTGATATCCGCTCCTCGTATGCATGCTCATGTTCAGCTCTGAGCTTTGTCCCGTAATGGCCTGATTTGGTCATTTCTTGGTATATCATTCTGCCTTTTGTGATATCTGAAAGCGCGAATGCACAAATTCAATAGTGGCGGATTATGAAATGTCACGATGACGAATGAACATTACGCAAATGTCAGCCACGCCGTATACAAGGTTCGTCAGCTCGAGAGTTGAGTGAGCATTAGGCCAGAAACATAATGGATATAGCATTCTTGGCGTTGCAGATGCCGAAATATGGAGAACGACGCCCGAGAATTAGTACTGATACAACGGAGTAAGCGAGCCAGGGTCTGATTGATGTTTTGTCTTCACAGTGCATTCACAATCTTGACGCGCATACCGCATCTACGTTCAACAATAATAGGTCCCAAGCTGCACCAGCTCAAACGAAGTACCGCGAACCCATATTATTGCTTCATACTATTCCATCTCATCTCCTTCATTCCGAGAAAGTGTGTATAAGTCACTCTCACCAAGTTTACACCATCACCTTCCCTCTCTATTTCCTGCTCGTGCTGTTTTCAGTAATACCGCAGAGTACCTCAGGCCGTCATCATGAATGGCCACTCTCAGCCCTCACATGAGCCTGTAATGAGCAAGCAAGATGAGGATCTGATGCAGCTCACGTTGCAACTCAGAAACAAGAAAGAAGCTGAGAAGTATGCCAAGTTTCACGGCGACAAACTCATTGGAGTATGTATCACTTCTGACGTTCTATCATCCTTTTAATGACGCCTTTAGAACCCGATTGTTCCCAAGGTTGGCTTATGGGAAGATGTCAAATCTGTGTTCTCCAAGTCTAGCAACTGGCCTGCTTTAAAGAGAACGGCAGATGGTTTCATTAAAGGCACTGGACTTGATGTAAGTTGGGCAGGTATTCTTCTTTAGCTTTCTTGCTGACACAGACGGTAGGGACAAAGTCTGGCGACGATCGCTGGCAGTCTTTCTGACTACAGCGTCCAACGCCAGAAGCTCATCAACGACCAAGTCAAGGACAAGTACGACAAGATGCTGCACCGTGAGTTTACACAGATTGAACAGAGACTGGCGACAGATGCTAATTTTTTCAGCACCTTTGACGTATCTTGGTGATGCATTCCAGTATCGAACTGCTGATGGCAAGTTCAACAGCTCCATCAATCCCCATCTCGGCCAAGCTGGTGCTCCATACGCCAAGACCGTCCCATCAAAGACAGCGCCGTTGGGAGCTCTCCCTGATCCTTCTGATCTCTTTGACAAGCTTATGGCACGAGAAGAAGGTGGCCGAGAGAGCCAGTCTGGACTGTCTGCAATGCTCATCTATCACGCCACCATCATTATCCATGACATCTTCAGGACTAACGACAACGACAAGAATATCTCTGATAGCTCGTCTTACCTCGACTTGTCTCCACTCTATGGATATACCACCGAGATGCAACGTAAAGTCCGAGATGACAAGTACAAGCTTGGTCTTTTGAAGCCTGATACGTTTGCTGAGGATCGTCTACTTCGGCAGCCACCTGGCGTCTGCATCATGCTCGTTATGTACAACCGATACCATAACTACGCTGCAAGACAACTTCTTCGAATCAACGAGAATGGCCGCTTTAGAGTTCCCGTCATGTACGAGAAGACCAAACTTGTCTCTCTGATCATGGAGCATCTTCCTGAGAAGGACCAGTACGGCCAGAAGCTGCCATTGGACGAAAAGGTTCAGAAGATGTGCAAGCAATACGAAGATCTCTGGAGACAGGTCCGCGCAGCGAGGCCTGGCGATGCACCATACGCTCCTCCGAAGACGCCTAACGAGACTGATAAAGAGAAGGAGTCTCGAGAGAAAGCTGAGAAGGCTCGTCACGACGCTCTGGAGGAAATTGAGAAGTTCAACAAGTCGAAGCTGAACCAAGACTTGGAAGACTTGGCCAACGATCTCAAGCTTCTCCTCAAGAAGAAGACGCTGAAGCTCAAGGAGCACGATCATCAAGCTGCCAAGGACTTTGAAGCTGCATGCGACGAGTTCAAGGATGCCTGGGAAGCTGCCTGGAACAAGCAAGACGATGATCTCTTCAACACCGCTCGACTCATTACCTGCGGCATGTACATCCAGATCTCAGTCCACGACTACTTGAGAGCTTTGATGGGCTTCCACCAATTCAACACCAACTTCACTCTTGATCCTCGCGCCGACTTTGATCAGAAGAAGACGAGCCGTGGTATCGGCAACCAAGTCACGGTCGAGTTCAATCTTCTCTACCGCTTCCACTGTGCCATCTCCCGCAAGGACGAAGCATACACTGAAGACTTTATGAAGAAGGTGTTGCATTTCAGAGACCCAAGCAATACATCTCTTCCCGAATTTCTTGGAACAATGGCTGCTGTCAAGCAGAAGGCTGCGGAGGACCACAAGTATGGTAAGAGGGAGCCTGAGCCATGGGAGGTCACCTTTGGTATCCCTGATGAAGACACAGCACCTGCAAATGGGTCTGGGTCATCTGGCAATACTTCAGACAGTGGTATAGCTTTCAGCGGTGATACTTCCAACATCGGCCCAGAAAAGGTCACCAAGTCCAAGCATTTCACTCGCAACGCCATCACCAACCTTTTCGACGATAATCAGATGCTCGAGGAGCTTACTTCAGCCATGGATGACCCTATCTCCAACTTTGGTCCCCGCAACGTTCCCAAGTGCCTCAAACCTGTTGAGATCATGGGCATTCTTCAGGCTCGTCGTTGGGAGTGCGGAACTTTGAATGACTTCAGAGACTTCTTTGGCCTGCCCAGACATCAGTCGTTTGAGAGCGTTACAAAGAATGTAGAGATCCAGAATGCACTCCGAGATCTTTACGAGCATCCTGACAAGATTGAGCTGTATCCTGGTATCTTCTGTGAGTCTGACGAGTACATGGGGCTGGACCCAGGTCCCAGCGAGTCAAGTTCTGCTCTCTGGTCTGCCATCTTCTCGGATGCCATCACCCTTGTTCGATCTGATCGATTCTACACTGTTGATTGGAACACCAACTCTTTGACTTCTTGGGGCATGAAAGAAGTCACTCCCAACAACGAGATCTGCAAGAGTTCAGTCTTCCATCGACTACTACAACGTGCCTTCCCAGGATGGTTCCCCTCCAACACCATCCGCTTCTTTCATCCTTTCTACACCGCCAAGCAGAATGCCATCTACGCCGAGGCTCAAGGCTATGGTGATTGGTTCAAGGAGACAGTTGATCACCCAAAGATCGCCGTTGCTGCTCCAGTGCAGAAGCCCGAGAAGCCGTGGTACCTCAGCAAGTACGACGACATCAAGATCATCTTGCATGGGGAGAAGTCTAAGAACTTCACCAATCCTGCATATTACTACAAGGCAAACCTTCCTCAAGTAGTCAGGGATGTGTTGAACCCGGTGCCTGAGAAGAAGCCACCTACCTACTCATCTGTGATTGACGATTATGTCAAGGACGTGGACTCAGACTTGAAGAAGTATCTTGATCACGAGATGAGAGAAATCGTCAAGAGAGAGTCAATTTCTATGACCAATTCGACGTTCCAGATCGATGCCACTCGAGAGTGAGCTTTCTCTCTTCCCTTTGACACCAAGACCCAGCTGACCACTTCATAGCTTTGCCATACCCGTTGTTACTCGATATGTCGCTGACTTCCTTGGCTTCGGCAACAAGCTCTTCAAGACTCCAACTGAGACCAAGGACACGTACAGCGAGAATGAGATTTATCAGCATATCACAAACTGTCAAATCTTCCTCTCATACAACGCTGACGAGACCAAGTGGTTGCAGCGTCGTGAGGCTTTCAAGGCTTCTATGAAGAAGCTCATCGAACTGACCCAGAAGGGAACAATCTGGGAGGCCGGACAATGGGACATCACAAGGGCATTGTTTGGTAAGAAGGAGACAAATGCTATGCATGACCTTGGAGTCTTTGTCGCGAAGCAGGTCTTGGCTTATGAGAAGGATCAGAGAAAAGCGGCTGCTATTCTTCTCCTCATCTGTCTTGACTTTGCATATAATGCGGTCGTCTCAGTAAGTCACTCCTGTGCTTGGTTCATAAGAAACCTGCTAATCGCCACCAGTTCACTGCTACCTTGGACGGCTACATGAGGGATCTTTATGCAGCGGCTGACGGTCGTCCACATCTCATGCTCCTTCGTAATGACGTCGGTCCACAATGGATCCAAGTCCAGAAGTGTGTCTTCAGTGATAAACCAGACGCGGATGAGCAGCTTGAGAAGATGGTCCAGACAATGGCTCGTATCACCGTTCGGCAACCCATTGTGCGAAAGGCTGTCGCGCAAGGCGATTATTCCTTTGCTGGTGTGAACAAAGGAAAGCCGGTTACCATCAAGGAAGGCCAGGCTGTTATCCTCGATCTTGTAAGTTGATGCCACGAGCTATCTGTTAAAATAATGTATTAACTGCGTTCTACAGGCCAAGGCTGGTGAGGAGCCAGGAGTTAAGGGCAATCCAGAGAAGCAGCAGCTCTTGATGTCCCAGCTCAGCATCGCCGACAAGTTCGGAGTCTTTGCACCTCGACGCGTTGCCACGATCTCTTTAACCTCAATGATCAAGTTCGTCGCTCAGATGAAGAATCCTCGTCGTGGTCATGATGCACAAGGCAAGCTCAAGAAGATCAACCTTGACTCTACTCCCGAGGGCTACGCCAACTACATGGCGCCTGGACGAGTCAGTTGGATCGAACAACAAGTCAAGAAGCTGGATGACCATGACGAAGCAGACGAGATCTTTACCGATGATATCCTGCGACCCCAGACTGATACATATCTTACCCCAACTTGGGATGAGTTTGTTCCCTTCCCCATGACGTGGAAGATTCGCTTCGATGGATTCGGTGAATCAGACTACAAAGTTGGCACCAATGACTACGGTAGAGTCAAGACAACTCCTACTCTGCCTGATTTCTGCCCTCCGTGGTATCAGCCTCAAGGTCCAAGTACTGAGGGAGGTGCTTTTGCTTCCGTTGTCTGCGTTTGTGCTGATGATGGAGCTGCGGACGGCAAGGTTGATGAGAAGGGCGAGAAGGTTCACAAGAAGCATTGTCCTTGCGTCGGGGGCTCCAAGAAGAAGTCTAAACTGAAGACAGCTCAGCTTTCGACTGGCTGTGGATTGAGCGATAACTGTGTGCATAAGTAGTGCTCTTGCGAATTTCTTTAATAGTAATCATTTTGTTGTATAACCCCTGTTTCACAGATTTGATGTGTGTTATCTTTGGTCACTACTGTCGTGATATTTCAGATTCTCTGGGTTTGCATGACCTCTCTGCTTATCTTGGATGTTCCTGCTGGAGATCAAGAAGGACACTTGCTGAAACTAGTCCAAGTTTGGTCTCCATCACCATGACTATTTCTAAGCGTCTTTATCAGTTTGAGGAATGTTACGAGACAGCCTATTGCCAGTCCTGCTAGACTTGACCGAGCAACGATATTGATTAACTTTTCTTGTCTTACGTAGCGGGACACTGAAGTCGGCGTTCATCTTAGCCCAGGTGATGCGATTGCCAGTTTACACTTTTCCCTGTTGACTTTCGCAGCCACCTTCGGCATTTGCTATCAGCTTCGTATTATGTGTGGGATGGGCTATGCATTATGTACTTGATACGACAAGCGGGATGACTGGAGATGACCATGACTCAGGCCCAAGCCGCTGATAGCTTGGCAGGGGAAAATCGCACTATGGACAATGGTATAGGCAGAATGAAGTGGCTTAGAAGGGAAGACTAGGGTGGCATTGGCTGCTTGCTAACTGAATTACGTGGTCAATTTCTTATTGTGATCTTCCGTTGTTTCGATCATCAAGTGCTCCAATTTATCTGACTTAACTGGAATTGTGTGAATAAATCCCGTGGATGGCGCTGCGCAGCCCTTGCTATAATTTAGTAATATGGGGAGAAATCTCTCATCTCGAATTGATTAGAGAGCGAGAATGACATAGGAACGCATTTAGTGTGTTGCAGTATTCCTTGATTGATTTATTCCTCAGCTCATATCTCTTGTATAGGTTAGATGAGCTTTATTGGATGCTGCCAAGAATAAGCAACACCCGCTAAGCGAGAGCGCCTACAACTGCTTGATTCGTCCTAGCTCTTCCGCGCAACGACGCCAAGAACCATGGGAGATCTGCACAGAGCTAGGATGATCCTCGTGAATCTCTTCCTTCTGAGGGGAACCTCGGATATTACACCACGCTGGCCAGGATTAAGCATAAGAGGCTCACGAGATAAAAGGAGGGGAACAGTTTACAAAGCACATTAAAGTTCACAGCCGGACAGGTGTTTAGTCATTGATAAACCAGACCAACCAATACTATCACGAGGCGTGGGGGCGGTTTATACGATTGACCGTGTCGGAAGCTTCTGTGATTCTTCCAAGGCCTCTAACTTCCTGATGTAGTAGTACTACCCCATAGTTTTTGAACTCTAAAGGAGGCCTCGGTGCTAATAGCGGGGATAGATAACGGCAATTAGAATGAGTAGAGTTTGTGTGGGAATAAACAGTTGCCGGAGTATAAATAAGAGCAGCCACTCACAATGAAAATAACTTTATCACAAACTTTAACAACACTTATAGTATCGATTAAGTTTTCACAATCATACTGTCACCATGTTACCAAAGTTTATCACGAATATTCTTATTTCAGGCGCTGTTGTTGCCGCTGCCACTCAAGAACCCCTCCAGCCTAATCGATGCGACGTTACCTGCCAGCTTGCATATCGTAAGGCTCTCGCTCTTGAGTCCAGCCGCTGGGTCAACCAGAATGTTTCCACAGACGACTTTTACTCCAACCCATCCAATCTCTCCGAATATTCTGCTGGTGATCTTGTGAAATGGGAAAATGTTCCCGCTGATCAAGCCTCCAAGAGGTGGACCCTTCCCGGAGGAGTATCCATGTCTCGGTTCTTCTATATTACCGAGGACATTGACGGAAAGCCCATTCCAGCCACAGGCTTTGTCTTGACTCCTTACTCCAACCCACTTGGTAACGACAAACCTTTCCGTACGCTTGTCTGGACCCATGGAACTGCTGGTGGCACGCGTCAATGTGCGCCATCAAACCATCGCGCTCTCTACTATGAGTGGTCAGGGCCTTTTGCTCTTGTTCAACAAGGCTATGTTGTGATTGCCCCCGACTATGCTGGTCAAGGCAGTGACATCCCTCAGGGCTTCATGTATGAGTCTGGTGCACTACATGCTGGAGACGTCAGCTTTGGACTCCAGGCTGCCCGCAAAGCTCTTGGAAAGCGCATCACTAAGGAATGGGTCGTTATTGGCCACAGTGAGGGTGGTTTGACTGCATGGAGAACTGGTGAGCGAGAGGCAAAGCCTGGCAAAGCAACCGGCGGCTTCCTCGGTACCGTTGCAATTGCCCCAGCTCTCCAGCCCATCAAGCTTATCCCCGAATCCTTCCGCCGGGCAAAGGGAGGCCCAGCTGGCGATGTTGTCTCTATCTTCCTTTTACAGTCTATCTCGCGCCTCTTCCCCTCGATCAAGGTCGAAGACTACGTCACCGACATTGTTCTCAGCCGCATCGCCCTTGCAGACCAGGGTTGTCTCGGCACAGGAGGTACACTCTATGGTAGCCTGACCGTGGAACAACTGTACAAGAACACCAGCTGGATCGAGCATCCCGACTTCATTGACTGGCAGAAGCGTTACAACGGCGCTGGAGAACACCCTCTAGCAGCTCCCATGCTTGTCATCCAGGGGGATGCTGACATTCTGACGTACGCCGAATATGCCGAAGAGGACTTCAACGCCACTTGCAAGAAGTACCCTGAGTCGACTGCTGAGTATAGGCTTTACCAGAAGACGGATCATGGTCTTGCTCTTTCGGTTTCCCAGGCTGACTTTTTCCCATGGATTAAGGATCGCTTCAACAAGGTCAAGTTGAACAAGGGCTGTAAGAAGACTGTCATCAAGCCGGTAACTGACAACTTTGGGCTTTCGAGCCAGGACTGGCAAGTAGAGCTGTGAAGGCCAAGGTGTTGGTATGATGAGACATGACTCGATTCTTTGAGGCTTTGAAGTGATTGTATTGTTGTTATTTTGTACCTATTTATCCAGCGTAGTTTATTGTGCGAATACTCTGAAGAATAATTTCCCGCGTTTCCACTTGCTGCTGTGCCGATTGATAAGAAAAAGACAGCGTCTCTCATCCTAGATGTGTACCAGCAGACTGCTTATGTTCTGCTTTGTTTGAGAAGGCTCGCTTTGAATGGGTTTGTTGACACATTGAAATCTTAACGCAACATTACAAGGGCTTAAACAGCATTTCAAGAACAAGTTCCGCGACATGTCTCACATCAAATTATTCAACCAATAATATTCTTCCTGAGTTGCATCTTGTTAGGTGCAAGACGTTTCAATCTCTCTGGTGGCTTGTAACTTGTCAGAGCGGGGTTTTGGGAGGCCCACCAGACTTGTTGTACCACCTAACCTTTGTTCCTTTCTCCCTGTCGCCGACATGTAACCAGTACTTTTATTTACTCTGTATCGTTCTGTTCTTCATTATTGGTGATTGAAGTCTCTCAGGTCCCTGTCAGCATGGATACCTCGTCATTGATGCTGGCCCTCCAGCTCCAGCAGCAAGACTTGGACCTATGGGAACAGTCCAAAAAAGGAAAGCAGCGCGAGGGCGAGGTGACAGACTCAGATCTGACATTTGATGCTTGACGCCGTGAGCTTGAGTTAATGACGGCTCAGATATCCGATCAGGTGTTGGCCCTCAGTATTGCAAGAGCTGTTGAGTCAGATGGTCAGGTCATCAGAGAAGCTCAGTTGGCAGAGGAGCAGGCTGCAAGAGATCGTGAATACGCCGTCAGACTTTCAGAGGATCCCAGTGCAGCAGCCAGATCAGTCGCCGAAAAGGGAAAGCCAGCACAAACAGATGAGGTGGAGGATGATTTGATTGACATCTTGAGGTCCATGAATCTGGGTCGATTTGATAGCTCAATGTCGGGCCAACCCGAGTCGTCGAGCTGGGCATCATCGCGCAAGCCGCCTCAAACACGGGAATGCATTGCCTGCAACGACCGATTTCCACCTCTTGCACTCTCAAAATCCCCGTGTTCTCACGACTATTGTCGAGAATGCCTTGTTGGTCTGATTCGTTCGTCGCTCCAGGATGAGACTCTATTCCCTCCACGATGCTGTGGCCAGAATATTCCCATCAAACAAGGGCGTTGGCTGTCGCCGGAGCTCGTTGGGCAGTTCCAGGCCAAGAAGCTGGAGTTCGACACCCCAAATCGCACTTATTGCAGCGAGCCTTCCTGCTCAACGTTTATACCGCCTGCTTTTATCGCTGGTGATAGAGCTACTTGTCCTAAGTGCAATCAAAGGACTTGCATTCACTGTAAGGGGTCGCATCATATCGGTGTCTGCCCTAGTGATAACGCCTCGCAGCAAGTCTTGCAGCTTGCGGCTCAGAACGGCTGGCAGCAGTGCTATAATTGCCGAAGACTCGTTGAGTTAAACTTTGGATGCTACCATATAAGTAAGTCTTGGCGCAGCTGAGCATGTCGCAAGGTTGCTAATCTGGAACATAGCCTGCCTTTGTAGAGCCCAGTTTTGCTATATCTGCGGCGAGCGCTGGAAGACTTGTCGCTGTCCACACTGGGAAGAAAGGCGCCTGGTGCGAAGGGCCAATGTTATTGTTGACCGAGATGATTATGCCGGCAGGATGAACCCGAGGGCACGACAGGCCCGCATTGAACAGGAAAGGTTAAATCTGCTGGAGAACCATGAATGCACACACAGAACTTGGAACTGGCGTGGTGGTCGTCACCGGTGCGAGGAATGTCGCGACGTCCTTCCTCACTATATCTTTGAGTGTCCTCAGTGCCATGTTATGGCTTGCAGGCGATGTCGATTTAACCGGTTTTGAGATGGTCGTTTATGTGGATACGTCGTCTAAGCATTAAATCGGAGGGATAGATGTTAGATAGACTCAAATGGCAGCTTCTTTGGTATGATTATAATGGGCATGAATTTATTATATAGCCACAATGAATAGGGTTGACAAGGTATGTGAAAGATGGTGATCGAAGAAAAGGTTAATGGCGGGCATTTACAAGGCACGCAAGGCTATACACAGTTCGGAGTCCAGCCCGTGCCTTGGATCTTATTGCCCTCGGCATTTGCCTCACTGGGTCGATGGGCTCACACTAGTAACAACATTAGGGTATTTTGACTCTTCCTTCCACTCCGCCGGCGCTTTGCAAATGCGTATATCCTTCCCTCTTGCTCTGTACATCACCCTGTTCTGACAGTTGTCGCAGATGTGCTCGATGTCGAATGACCACTTCGCCATGTATGGAGCGACTGCTCCACAGACCGTAGTCATCAGCAACGCAACAGCTTGTAGACTGTGATTTGTCAGCTCCGTTTCAGTAAAACCGTTGTCTTTCACATACTGAGTTGTGTTGGAAGGCTTCTTCTTCACTCTTGTTTCGCTTCGCCGTAAACAGAACGGACAATCAATGGCTTCAGGTTGGTCCCCGAGGAGATGTAGAGGTGTCACGGTGTTGGATGCTCGAGGAGCGGGTATGACTTCTAAACCAGAAGCGTATTCGATATTTGTTTGTGGTGTTGTACTAATCATGGGCAGATTGTCGCGGTTATGCGCATATTCCACGAGAGCAAGTTCGGGCGCATCGTGTATGACAGCTTGCGGAAGGCAATCGGAGTCGGCTCCTGGGGAGTGAGATGCCTCGATTGTGCTAGGGTTGCGAGGGTCGAGATCTGTTTCGGTAAGGGATGGTAATGTAAATGACTCGATCGATCGCGAGGTTATAGGCGTCATGGCCATTGGGGACACAGAGACATTGAAGGCGACAGGGCTAGATGTTGTTGTCATGGGAGATACACCAAAGCCATCTGTTGTGAGAGGATCTGTTGTCGTTGCCTCCGAGTAACTTGGTGGTGGCAGAGGACTGTCCATGTTATTTCAGGTCATGTAGAAGGCAAAGATGCTTCTTACCCTGCTGGGCCTTGGTGTAGTTGCCGGTCTTTGTAATCCATTCTGAGAGAGAGGACGAGAAAATTGACAAAACTCGGCAGTATTCCACTCGGAATGGCAGGAAGCAAGATATTTAACTAGTTTAGTAGGATCTACAGCACACTGACAGGGTAGGCTCATATGCTCGGAAGCGACGGAGCTGCTCATCAAGCGATGCTTAAACTAACAATTGTGTTATGGCCCTACAGGGCTAAGTTTAGATTAACATGAAACCTTATGGCATCTCGGCCACGCGTAGCGTACGCAACAATAACCCCAAAGCCATAACGCAATCTGAGTTCATGTTCCAGGAGCCGCTAACAATCACTAACCAACGGTACAATCCGGTACCGAAACCGAAACCGATAGCGGGACCGACAAAGGTCGACCAATCAAACCGCAGGTGTCTCATGAGATAAAGACAATGCTAAATGGTCCAGACTGAGCTTTGAGCCGGGCTTGGCTTTGCTGACGTTCCTGAGATTCTTAACAAGCTTATTTGGTTGGATCGGGTTAAAAATAGTGCCGGTAGGGCTGGTTTTCTGAGTGACACTCTCTCTAAGCCTCAAAGCTCGGTTTCTCTTCCAGAATACGTGTATGAGGCTTCAATGCGTACAACGGCAACTGCCGCGTCATGATAGAGTTGAGACTTGTTGATTCAGAATGTTTTGAGCCAAGTGCGATTATTATAAATGTTGGCGTTGCCATCAATGTCGGGCTTTATTATCATCATCTCAAGCCTCAGCATCCTCATATCATACACACTATCGCCTCTTTTCCTTCGCTGCTTTCGCCAAATCTATCAAAATGACGCCTGTATTTCTTAAGAAGATGGAGCCCTTCTTCACTCCCCGCAACAAGATCCCCCTGCAGATTGTTTTAGTCATCTTGATCATTACCGTCATTACCCTCTCCGGCGTCCGCCTTATCTTGCCCAATCGGCCCCCAGGTCGCTCCACCACCATGGGTCTCGGCATGGTAAGCTTATTTTCCGGCACTCAATCTCTCAGATCTAACATCTTTCAGGGTGCCAAGTCCCTCATCATTCTGTCCTACGAGATCCTCGCCGAGCACACTGTCCGCTTCCATCGTTGGAGCAGCCTCAAGGCTTACTTTATCCTGAATGCCATGGAGGTTGTCTTTTGGGCCGCTGTTGCTTTCATGATGATCCGTGGTAATTCTCAAGTTTGTGTCGGAACAAGTTGCGCTCTGGGTTGGGTAGTCTTTGTGTTGGCTGGTATCTTGAGGTATGTCCTTCTCAACACCCATAACAAATCGTGACTAACAAGTCAGCCCGATGTACAAGTATCTTGCCGTGGTTAGCTTCTTGGATTGGCGATTCTACAAGAAGAATGGGTTTCCCCGTGGTGCGAGGACAAAGAACACGGATGAATCTCTCAGCACTCTTCGTTCAGAGAGCCTCCCTGACACGGCTTATCACCATTGAGAGGAGAGATAGTACCAAGTCACTTCACAAGACTTTGAGGAGACTACCCTATGCATTCGCTTAGCACATGTTTTCATTTTCCATGTATTAGTTTTAGCCATTTCTAGAATCAATGTACTTGAGTATTTCTTTCACACTCCACAGCTGCCAAACACCATTGCAACATTGTTGACCATCGTGGTTCCATTTCATTCCGAATATCTTGTAGCACGGGCTTGCCCCAATTCCTCATAAACCATTGAGACCTTCCCACTCGATCCAAGATAACGCAATAGTGGGCGAGGACGCAAAGGGCAACAGGGTGACGCTGTCTAATGAGATCCAAGAATTCCGAGCTCACTGATAAACACCAAGTCATCGCGATGCGCTCGTCGGGCGCAGGTGTTGTCCCGATGTGGTTTTCTATCCAGGTGATTGCTGACGCGATTGATTCTTGACAAATCGTAATCGTTGTATCCTCGAAGCCATCAGGTATGACGATTTGTCGCAGCTGCGCGAGCGTGGCGTCAAGCAGAGGCGTCGACCCGGATTGGCTTCCTTTGACGAAGAGATGCGCGATTCTGCTCTCCTTCAGTAGTGGCTCGTATCTGTTCAAGATGTCACTCATTCCCCGTATCAGCACAAAAACATCTAGAAGATCGTCGATGCGAGGCTGCTGGCCCGCATTGTGAGCGCCGAGACCAGCAAATGCCCCGATACCCAGTAATGAAGATGCCAGAAAGATCTCCACGCAGCTCTCTTCTGTGATGCACGCGACAGCTGAGCGAAGACCTGCGATAGCCTTGTTTTGATGTTGTGACGCACAGATAGCGTAGTCTGGCCGATCTGGATGCAGGGAGGCCAGATGGAATGCAGAAACAGATAAAACTTGGTGGAGAAGATAGACGTGGCTCAGGGATAACTTCGGTAACTCAATCTGCCATATTTGCCGGAGTTCATCTGCTCGCGGCAGGGTAAGGTACGTAGATGTTGAGTATTGGTGCATCAACTCAAGATCCGTGAGCCATGTGCTTTGCTCTATTGACTCCTGGCCTGTAACGAACTTGGCCAGGTACGGCAATGGATCCGGGCTGGCAATTGACGAGTCGGCATTTGAGCTTATCTGACGATCATCCTTTTGGGCATCGGTCTGTATAATCAAGTCAGGCGTGTTTTATCCACATCAATGCGACCTACGAACTTTATCAGCTGAAGGCCCTCGTCGTACATCCGAGGGTTCCTGATAAACACACGATAAGCCGTGTCTCTCGCACGCTGCGCAAGGCTGTTTCTCATCACACTAGCTAAACAGTTAGGCTGTATCGACGCGTGCTGAGTACCCGAGGCATACCTTGACGCGTCGTTGTTTACATCGCATGCATCCCCTTCGAGACTTTTTATAACCCAAGCGAGGGGGCATGATGAAGGTTTTAACGATTACCTTATACTGGACTCAGTCGCGATCGACTTTCGAGATGAGTACCCAGGGCTTTGGTCGGTTAGTCGATTGATAGGGTTGCACGAAATGGACAAATTGAGGTTGGTCAGTGGAGATAAATTATGCCGAATTGTGAATGCTGCTTATGTAAAACGTCGCTGAAGGTTTGCGCTACTGATCGTATTTGGCAAGGTATTTATTTATTAACGTCTAAGAGTAATAGGGTAGCTAAGTATAAAAGAACTCTAAATCTAAGGAAGAAAAAGATTGTCTAAAACCATTTACTAGTAAATGCCTGTAAAATCTAATTGCTCCATTTGCCAGCGATCTAAGAAGTCAAACCCAATAAAGTCCCCATACAAGAATGACTGATCATCCTGCGGCAAAGTGATATCCGTTTGAGCCGGTTGCAAGATATGCCCATCATTCAGAGTCTGGTCCTGGGAGATGGCCTGCATCGTGTTGATTTGCTCAGTATCACTCGACGACATTGGGTAGAGCTTGTTCTTCGAGAGGACAATCTCAAATGCAGGCAAAGCTCGCTTTATAGCAGGTGTATCCCGAATCTGGTCAAGTGCAAGCATGGTGTGCTGAACCGATATCCGAGCCATTGAGCGAATGAGGCTTGACTCTGCGGCGTCAAGGGCAGACTCTATATGTAGGGCCAAAAGCGCTGTGATGGTGGTGATGCTAAAAAGGGAAAAGGGTCAGAAGATGAAACAAGATAAGCATCAGAGAGGATATACATACAAAGTAGTTGGCAACTTCTGGATCGTGTTGTTGATTATGACTCGTTTGACGATAGTATCAAGCTCAAAGATCGCCGATCTGAACCGTTGTTGCGCCCACTCGCGCAACCCACCATCACTCATTTGCCATCGTCCACGACGTAACAAACGACACATGATGCATTCAAAGCGATAGCTGGTCGTCAGAGCTTCGAGGTGATAGATCTCACCATCTGTAAAAGACGCGAGAAGCTGCATCCTGCCGGGAAGTGATGTTCGCCACGCATCAAGTGGCAGTATTCTTTTGTGAACTTCCTCTGCTGACGGACTTGAACTTGTGACAACAGACATGACATTACCAACTAAGATATATGTCAGTTGCTTTGTTGGTTCTCAGGAATACTGAGACTTACAGATCTGGGCTAACTCGCATTGAGCCATGAGGGACACTTTTTGGGCCTGAGAGATTGGCGATAAGAGACCGGATCCTTGCTCGATATCTTCAGTGTCCCAGTCAGCCTCCGTGAGCGGTCTGATTGGAGGTGCATTTGCAAGCAGTCGCATATTCTGTGTGTTGATGAAGAAATGGAAGATGTCCCTATTCTTGAACATGTTAGGCAGGCATTCAATCTATAAAAGTCCTCTAAAGCTCACATGAAGAACCCACCAGATTCGTCGGTACAACTTCTGGGATCCATCATCACGAAGACAGCTGATATGTGTAAGCAACCTCTGTGCCTGAAGGGGTTGGAATGTTTGCAGCTTACGCATTTTGTACGCCCATCTTTGAAGCCCGCCGGACTGAGTTGTGAAACCAGTACTGAAAGTCTCTGTCAGATGGATGATCCAGGATGATCGCACCAAGAATCATAGATCCCTGCAACATGGAAAGCGGATCTCCCTGACAGTGGAAGTCATGAAAAAGCTTGGCCTTTGAGAAGAAGGATGCCTGTGCGGTTGAACGATCTGGATATCCACAGCCAAGCAGGACGTCATGGGTGACATAGAGACTTGCAGCTGCTGCTACAGCGTGAAGCAAGAAAAGACAACAGCTTCCTGAACGATAACTCTGGATGAAGTCTGTCCGGTTCAGGATGGGTGCGAAAGGGTGCACATAGTCGAAGTATGCTTTGACTATGTCGTCCCTGCAATAACATTAGATGGTCTCATTGATAGTGATTAGATGAACTTACATGAATCGGGGAGGAGGGAGCTCAAATACTTTCTTCTTGGCAAGATACTCGTTGTCAACGTCGTCAAGCTGTGGTGGGGGGTTCCAGTGATGTATTTGACTATTGAAGCTGTCATCTGGTTCATCATTTGACTGATGATCACTTGCATCTGTTTGGGCCGCTGAAGTGTCATTGACTGTGTCTTGCAGAATGTTAAGGTAGAGTAGATCAGCCTGGGCCTGACCCGGCGGACGACGATCTCTCGAGTGGGGAGTGTCGTTCCTTAAAGAACTGCCGGTATGGCTTGCATGGATAGACTCTTCTACAGGATCAGAGTGAGAACTGTCTGTTGTCTGTCTTGATCCATTTGTTGGGAGCTGTTGTTGTCGAGGCTATGGATAATTACAACTATCAGCTTGGTACAGGCCATATAGCAGTGAACTACAGAGGATGTATCGCTGCAGTGGTACGAGTGAGGCGATGAGACAGTGACTAACCGATAAAACGGAGCCATTGGTTTCTGGTAAATTTTTCCGTGACCTGGGAGGTTCGGCATTACGCCCTTTTCTATAATACGCATCAGTGAACAGATCTCAATACGAGACATCAAACATCAATTCATTAAATGGTTAAAACTCACAAAGTCCGACGCTTCCGTGCCGATAAAACACACTCTTCTGGGCATTCTCTACTAACACAGCTGCCGCAGGGGAGCCCAACAACAGCAGCATTGCACTTGATCTTGCGCGTTCTACACGGCACACAAGCCTTGCTAATCTTGGGCGTAGACGAGGCCCGAGACTGTAGAGGCATTGGGGAATTAGAAACGAGAAAAAATGCGGTGGATATTTGTTGTCGTGTAAGATGCCGAGATGAATGGCGGTGCGGGGTTTGCCTGATGTTGAAGAATCATGAAATGCCGCGGGGGCTCTCGGTGATATAACCACGGAGATAACGAGAAGACAGCAAAATGCCGTGATCCACTTATAATCACGACAGCGGCGCATGCAAGGAATAACGTGCTGCTCCGGAGCACTCCGAAAATAAACTGGCCCAGTCTTTGCTTTCTAAGCCAAGCTTATAATCCCGCCCAAAACACCGCGGACAATTCGAATATTGCACGCTGGGCCTGTCGCCCCCCTTACCAACAATGGAAAAGTTAATATTCGCTCCTTTAAGAGATGGGTGTCACGATGCCATAATCGTATGTCTGTGTGATTGTGTCAGAAACATCAAACGAATCCATTCACAATGGCCATCGATCCTCAACCAAGTTCCCCTTCGCTGTCCTCCGAGACCATTGCAAACGACAATATCGGCAATGACAACAATGTGAACGAACCCAGCGTCGAGCCAAAGACACAAGAGCATCAGCATCCAGTACCACCTCGACTCTCTCGAATCTACAGTCAAGCACACCATATCAGTCCATCGTTCATCGACCAGAACTATCCAGGAGAAGGCACAACACAGTCTCCTTATCGCATCAACTTCCTCCCCGATGATACTCAAAATGCTCTGTTGTTTCCCCGATGGAAGAAGTGGGCGTTTGTTGGTCTTCAATCTCTAGCATGTCTCGCAACTACATTTGCCAGTTCGGCGTATTCAGGTGGTATCAAGCAAGTCATTCGCGCTTTTGGCATCTCCCAAGAAGTCGCTACGCTTGGAATATCCCTTTATGTCCTGGGTTTTACGTTCGGTCCTTTGATCTGGGCACCATTGTCGGAGCTTTACGGGCGAAAGAAGGTCTTTTTCTACACCTTCATGGTTGCAACAGCATTCAGCGCTGGAGCAGCCGGAGCGGGATCCATCGCCTCTTTGTTGGTTCTTCGATTCCTTACTGGATCTATTGGCTCTGCACCTCTTTCCAATGCGCCAGCTCTCATTGCAGACATGTTTGACAAGTCGGAGCGAGGCTTGGCTATGTGCATGTTCTCGGGAGCCCCTTTCCTGGGACCCGCTATCGGTATGTTCATAACTTCCGTACTCAACCAATAAACAACTAACATATGCTAGGCCCCATTGCGGGAGGCTTCCTTGGCGAGGCTGCAGGTTGGCGCTGGCTCCACGGGCTCATGGCCGCCTTCACTGGCGTTACCTGGATTGCCTGCACCGTCTTCATCCCGGAGACATACGCGCCGTACATCCTGCGCAAGCGCGCCCAGCACATGGCGAAGCTCACGGGCAAAGTATACATCTCCAATCTCGACGCGGACAAGCCACCAAGCTCGGCTGCTCACCAGCTCAAGAACGCGCTCACCAGACCCTGGCTGCTGTTGTTCAAGGAGCCTATCGTCTTCATTACCTCCATTTATATCTCCATCATCTACGGCACCATGTACATGTGCTTTGCCGCGTTTCCCATTGTCTTTCAGAAGGGGCGAGGCTGGAGCCAAGGAATCGGTGGACTTGCATTCACTGGCATTGTCATCGGAGTTGTTCTCTCCATCATCAGCTTCGCCTTTGAAGACAAGCGCTACGCTCGTGCGGCTCAGAGGAGAGGTGCCCCGATGGAGCCCGAAGACAGACTGCCACCAGCCATTATGGGATCTCTTCTCATTCCCATTGGCTTGTTTTGGTTCGCTTGGACAACCTTTCCTAGTGTACACTGGATCGTCCCCATCATCGGTACCGTGTTCTTTGCCTGGGGTCTCGTCCTTGTGTTCATGGCCCTCTTGAACTATCTCATTGACTCTTGTAAGTTCTTCTTCACCTGCCAAATGCGCCTCGCTAACCAAACACAGACGTCATCTTTGCTGCATCCATCATGGCAGCAAACTCTGCCCTTAGATCACTGTTTGGTGCCGCCTTTCCTTTGTTCACAAGGCAGATGTATGACGGCCTCGGAGTTCAGTGGGCAAGTTCCATCCCAGCCTTCCTTGCGCTAGCTTGTGTCCCCTTTCCCTTCCTCTTCTACAAGTACGGACGCCAGATCCGCATGAAGTGTGAGTACGCTGCAGAGGCTGCCAACGTTCTTCAGAAGATGCGGTCTCTTCATGTTACTGTAACAGAAGATGACGCCATGAATGAGGCTGAAGAGATGTGGAGGGCTAGAACTCACAACAGCCACGCATCAGCCGCTCACAGCCACGGTCATCGTCGATCTCAGAGCTATACTCGCTCTGTTTGATAGACCACGTTTTTGGTGTACGGTGATGAGAGAAGAAGTGAAAAGTAATCGAGTTGAGCAACCAAGAGGTTGCTCGGGAGGTAATCCCAGTTTAGACATTTCAAGACACATTGCTGCCTGTTTTCTTGCTTTTTAGACCTGATAGAAATAAAGTTGATAGAGATCGTTATACTTGTAGTAATAATTGTATTTATGTATCCTTTGCTCATCCATCGACGCAGCTACAACAACTGTATCCACGAGGCTGAGACGTGGAAAATACCTTCAAGCACCAGTAAATAGGCAAATCACAGATAAATAGCACTCTTTGCGCCTCTAGTTAGACCAGCTGGTGTAGCCAGGTTTGACATTCGACTCAACACCCGTTGAGTCGTGATCTTCCTCTCATGGTTCTCTACCCAAATCATGAGGTAAAGCTATTTGCATAGCTCCTTCGAGATGGATGATGGCAACCCCTTTCCGCGGCTTACTTCATCAAAAGTGAAAATGCAACTTCAACCCCGTCTAGGAGATCCATGCCGTGAACATCATCTCACTTGTCGGCCGACGAGTTACATGGACTTTGTGATGGCAACACAAGTCGGAGATGCAGAAGTCAAAGTGGAAATCACAAAGCAAAGATTAACAGAACTATTGTCGCCAGCATGGTGTTATTTTAGTGCTTTTAAATCGTTCATGAGCCTATAGTATGTTCCTAATTCATAATCGTTCTGTTCGAGCCCTCATGGGCCTGACCATAGCTTCATAGGGAATCACTTATCATATTGAGATGTGACGTTGCTCAGGTGTTCCAGAGACCAGGCTCATGTTAGACCAAGTCCCATGCCGCACCCCGCCAAACCAAAGCGCAAAGACAAGCTTTCAGCTGGAAATAGTCATATCGCCGCATCGTGAGTCCACGCTGGCGGTTTAGTGGAGAGTTCCCTTTTCCGGTAATCGATCGGATACTAAGGATGATCGCGAGTCATGAGAAACAGCAGAAGAGGTTACGAGGTGTTTCCATGAGTAATTCGCCGGGAGTGTCTAACCTGTCCCGAAACTCTAAATCGGACAACAGGTGACGAAGCGTGCATGCTTAGCGCTTTACTTTCTGTGTGCTAATGATAGTACCACGACCTTCCAGTTCTGATCTTCCACATGGTGCTGATCTAGTCCTCATTTCGGCCGCTTCGGTGTCCGTCGGCACAACAATAATAATGGTTGATATGAAAATCTGGAGATTTGTTTCCCCAGCTTTTGGGATGAACCTCTGTGCGTAAAGGATCAATAAGCATTATCGCCATGCGCTTAGACTGTCCGAGCAACCGTTAGGTTACTCTTGTCTTAGCTTAGTTGATTCTACATGCTTCGAGGGGTAGCTTTCATCTTCGATAGATCTTCATAGCCATCAGCCAAGCCTTCAGGTTGAGGAAGCCTCCGTCTTGTGTAACTTGAGGAGCTGATTTGTCATCTGCATGGTCGGCAGTCGAGAGGACAACAGGAAGGAATCCTTGGCCACGGTCTCGGTCTAGTACCACTACGTTTCAGGAAAGATCTCCGAACAGAACAGTCGAGAACGGATACTGAAGGTCCTTGGAATAACTGGGTAATGTGGATTGCTACTGAAACATAACAAGCAAATGCCGGCATATCATCTGTTTGTTTAGTTCGCTTAAAACGAGGTCCACGTGTAGTCCCCTAGAATGTCTTATGCCAAGAAGGCCTCGAACTTACATCGTGTTGCTGTTTGTTTTGTTATCAGATCTACCGGATGCATGTTCTGTCAATGGCTGAGTCGGGCCGACAGGGTTTAGGACTTCGGTAACTATGTAGCCCGAATTATCAAGGATTAGGTCAGTTACATTCATCCGTCGATCCCGCGTCGTAATTATTTTGCATCTCCAAGGGACTGCCGAGGCTTGGAGAGACCTTGTTCAGATCATGTACTCCCCGGGTGAGGGACCCGAGGAATCCGTTCCTTAGGAGTGATGGCGACAGGACAAGCATACTAACAAGAACCAATAAGGACGTCCCGTGGGAGCCCCCCTAGCGGTGAGTGTCAAGCCTCATCGGAGTAGAAGCCTCATTTCGAAGAACTCTATGCCGGCATTTGCATATTAGTGCCGTCGTACCCATGGAGTCACGTACCAGTATCCCGCCAACGCACAGACTCCCGTACAGATTAAGTTCTGATTAAGACTGGGATACGTAGATATTCACGGACCAACGGGTTTCCTCTTCAATAGAGATGAGAAGACTCGCAAGTTTAGAGTTTGAGCATGAGTCAAGCTCAATGCAAGTTGGGGTGCACGGCAGATTTGAGTTGCATAACTTTCTTGCATTAGTTTGACAGATTGAGGCGATAGAAAACGCCAATCACGTCTCACGAATTGAGCATCCAACACCTTCATTTAACTTGGCGACGGAGCGTCTAGGTGTCTATGCTACTTGAGAACTGTCATGTCAAATGCCCGTCTTCATATTTCCGTCATCGTTACTGCAACTCTCTAGATGCTTTGAATGGCCCATCGTCGAGAAGCCAGGGCGAGACTGACATTGCGGCAGACTCGGCTGTGAATATGAGTCCTCCGACTTTTCTTGTATAGGGAGCTCTCGCAAGTCGAGCGTCCTGATCTATAGCTAGGTCGATCTCGGGGTGCAGTCAATGTAAATGGTGAGAATACAAGTGTTACGCAGACTTGAGTTTAGGCTTATGTGTTCTTTGACTGGCTTGGCACTGGAATATAATGGAACAACAGAATATTTAATATTTATTAGAACTCTAATTGAATTCAATTTTATATAGAATTTATCTTGGAGTTAAATGTAAGAAGAATATACATAGTTACTTGAGAGATGTTTTATTAAAGTCATTACTTGTATAAGTTACTTTATATCTTTATATATTATCACTACTCAGTAATTAAGTCAAAATATCAGAGATAAAACAGTAAACCACTTATGAACCGACAGTCTCTTGCTATTCATTCTTGTCTTTAATACCCGGCTACAGGCTATAGGTTCTTCGGACATTGGCCGAGCTGGCTTCTCAAAACTGGTGACTGAAAAATTGTAAATAGTTAAAGCCATTGTTTCCTCTTGGATACTGACGGGCGACGTCTGTTGATGTCTTGGCGGAGCAAGCTAAAGACAAATAATCATATCTGATATCTCAGTTTCCTTTTGTCCCACTTACTCCGCACAGCATATGCACGTTTAAAGTTGTGATAAACAGATAGGTGGAAAAACCGCCAATTCGTAATAATTATTTCAAAGAAACTTAGTATCGGTGTCTTCCCCCCATCATCAAAGAGTCTACCTTTTTTGTGTTTGTCTGCAGTAGCGCATCGGACGACCCTTGGTGCAGCCGCCTGAAAAAGGGTTGGAATGCGGCGCTCATAAGCAGCTCCAGGGGGTCCGGCTAAACCGGCAAGTGATCAGTGTGCCGTGGACTACTGGCTAGCGACTTACGGGCCGCAGCCGCCCGGTACAAGTCCCCCCTGCATCCCAACAGGGTTACCTTCTCAATGTTATGATGGACAGGGATCTAGGCGAGTCGCGGACTCGTGAGTCTAGGCTCTCTAGACTTAGTGGAAATGCACGTAAGTTTCTTCAGTGAGGTCATTTGCTAGTGATCCTTGCTGGTTGGAGATTAAGCCTCAACACTGGAGACCAAGGGCGGCCGTGTTGTGAAGAACCTTTGAAGAACCTCAGCGGTTACGGGTGGGTTCGACAGATCTTTGCGGGCATCTGGGGAAATCCGACTCGTTTGCGAGGATCATCAACAGACCTGGACTCAACACGGTGGAGAGCGGAGTTTGGTTTCAGTGACAGCCGACCGAGGGAGTTTCCACCTTATGCCATTACCAGGATTATTCTCATGATCCATTTGTTGCTTATGTGCATTATAAGCGGCAACCACCCTGAAAAAAGGGCCTGCATACGCCTAAAGACAACGCGCGGAATATTTGTTTCCTCCGCGAGCACGGCAGGGTTTGCCCGCAGAATAAGCTTTCGGCTTTGGGTCCTGCTCAGCTCTGAACCAACAACACATCGAGCGAGCTCTATGGGGATTTTGTCGATGTTTGAGACAAGTGGGGGTTTTTGCAGTCAGCATGACAAATATGACTGTGCTAAACTGTCAAAAAGAACTCAATAATGTCAAACATGCTGATGAGAAGTGAGCGGGTACAGCACCAAGACCTGCTGAAGCGAGAAAAAGTGCGGAAACCGAACCGTCCGTGATGAATCCACTTGCATTGCAAGAGTTTGCATCGCATTGGAGTTCTCAGGCCGATGAGAAGGATTTCGGTTACCTATTATAGTGGGTCAACAGCGTCGATTAACTCAAGTAGCCGCCTTTTCTCGCTTATAATTTGTCGCAGAGACTAGAGACAGAGAGAGAGTGCGGCATCGGCGGAGGAAGCCCGGGTCTGAAACAAGCCCATCACTCGCATCCAAGCCCGTTTTTAGACTACAGTAGCTGATCTTGCTTACTCTTTTTAGTGTCAAAAAACTTGACTGTAAGGCTGAGGCGCCGTTAACCTCTACAAACACCCCCCGTACCCTGATAACACGCCACATCTCACACCCTCCCTTGTCAAGCCAAACGTTCGTTCGTGGGCAGGCCATGGGATTACGCATGCAAAGGGCACGTTGTTCAAAGCTAAACAGGTGCCGACTGTTGCAACCCCGCGTGCTCGTCGAGGCTTCCAACGGGTGTGCCACTTGCGTGTACGTACATGACAGCTGCAAGAAGCACAAGTCAAAGCTTATGGCCCATCCTGGACCTGGTAAATTGTGGCTGCATGTCCTGTCCGTTTAAAGGATTCTCTTCTCTCCGCTTTCACGGGACACGGGGATTGTTTGATTTGCTAGGATTTTTCGTCATCGTGGGATATTTCGCCTGCAAGAAACGCGGGATGCCGCTGACGGACGCAGTGAGTGACTGATTTTCTATCAGATATAGAATAAAGCCGAGCACCAGTTTTTCTTCTTCTCTCTTCTTGACATATTATACA